ATGTAATATGATTTGAAGTAGGGGATTATGATGCCCCCTGCATTGCTCTTACTACCCAGAATTATTTTTGCTATTCATCTTCTGGTTCCAAATAAACGTTAGGATTATTCTGTGAGGTATGCTACTGGTATTTTGACCAGGATTGTATTAAATCTGTATAACAGTTTTGGAAGTAGTCATTTTTACTGTATTGGTTCTGCCTATCCAACTCAAGAACAAGGGATATCTTTCTTTTTTTTTTTTTGTCTTTTTTCCTTTTTATCGGTACCAGGGATTGAACTCACGACCGCCTGCTTGTAAGGCAGGTGCTTATGCCGCTGAGCTAAATCCCCAGCCCCTATCTTTCTGTTTTCTGATATCTTCTTCATCTCTTTTTCAGAGCACTGTAGTTCTCAATATAAAAGTCGTTTATTTCCTTTGGTAGATTGATCACTATTTCTTTCTTTTTTTTTTTTTTTTTTTTTTTGATACTATTGTGAAATGTGTTGTTTCCCTAATTTTGCTTTCAGTGAGTTTGTTGTTTGCGTACAGGAATACTATAGATTTTTGAGTTTTGACTTTGTATCCTGCTACACTACTGAATTTGGTTAATTCTAGGAGTCTTGGAATTTTAGGGGTCTTCTATGTAGAGTATCATGTCATCTGCAAATAATGATAATTTAACTTCATCCTTTCCTAATCTTTCTTTCTTTTCTGTTTTTTTTTTTTTTTTGTACCAGGGATTGAACTCATGACCTCATGTTTGCCAAGCAGGCACTTATACCACAGAGCTAAATCCCTGGCCCTCCTTTCTTTTTTTGGTACCAGGGATCAAACTCACAACCTTGTGCTTGCCAGGGAGGTGCGTATGCCACTAAGCTAAAGCCCCAACCCTATTCTTATTCCTTGTTTCTTTCTCTTGTCTAATTTCTCTGGCTAGTATATGTTGAACCATCTCTGCATCCCAGAATGAATCTTACTTGCTTATAGTATATAATCTACTTGATGATTCATTGCAGCCTGCTAGCCAGTATCTTACTGAGAATTTTTGTGCCCATGTACATTGGTGAGATTGCCCTGTAGTTGAAGAGAACTCTGGTTTGGTATCAGGTTACTTTCAGGAATTTGTTTGGCAATATGGTTTCCTACTCAGTTTCATTAAAGAGTTTGAGGAGTAATGACATTGGATTTTCTCTAAATTCCTTGTAGAATTCAGAAATGAACTATCATGACCTGTGCTTTTCTTTGTTGGTTGTTTTTTATTTAGTTCTTCAGTTTCATTGACTGATACTGGGTTATTTAGAATTTTTTAATTTTTATTTTAAAGAGAATATAACCAAGTGAAATAAAACAGAATAAAGCTAATCAAAACAAACCAATGTAAGCAATATAGGACTTCAATATAGAACTTCAAACAGGGCTGGGGATTTAGCTCAGTGGCATAAGCACCTGCCTTGCAAGCAGGCGGTCATGAGTTCAATCCTCGGTACCGATTTAAAAAAAAAGAGAGAGAGAGAGAGAAGAAGAAGAACTTCAAACATGATAATAGTAAATCAGCAGTAGTTACCGTAATGCCTCTTGTTGTCTTCAAAATAGTTGCTCAGCTGGGCATTCTGGCCCATGCCTGAATTCCAGCACTAGAGAGGCTGAGGCAGGAGGATCATTATGAGTTTGAGACCAGCCTAGACTATAAAATGAGCTGAACTGCATAGAGAGACCCTGTCTCAAAAAGACAAAAAAAAAAAAAAAAAAAAAAGGCTGCTCATTCCTTCAGACATAGTAAAAATCAAACAAAACAGAACAAGATAGAACCAATAAAAACAAAATGATGCAATGAAGACTTCAAAATAAGATAGTATTAAGTCCAAAGTGGCTACAATAATATGTCTTGTTATCTTTCAAATAGCTGCCTGAGCCATTGGATATAATGAAATCAAAACAAGACAAAACAGAATAAAGCCCAATGCAACAAAACAATAAAAATGATACAGGACTTCAAAACAAGATAACAGGGAATTAACAGTGGCTGCCACCTTCAGAAGAAGATCCCCATAGATGCTACATTGTGTATTGTTATCCTCTAAATAGATGATCAGGCTTTAGACCCGCAAAGTGAGTGAAAAACTAAACACTACAAGCATTAAATTGTATTTTGCCTCAGCTATCCTCACCACTTATGGCAGGGTGAGGTTGTGGCCCTTCTTGTCTCCTAGCCTGCACACCAGAAGGGACTAGCATCCGGTCTCCCTCCAGTGGCCCTTGCGTGGCGCCAATTCATGGGGAGGGCTTGCTCCTTGGTGCCTTCTTGTTCTCCCCACTGCCTCCAGTCCGCGAATGGCCCTGCTTCACAGGAAGAAGCTGGCCACACATAGTCCATGCACAGGGAGGGCCTGCTTCTTGTTCTATTTAGGATTTTTATACCCTTGATTCAGCCTTGGTAATTCATATGTATCTAGGAATCTGTCCATTTGTTTGTTTTCCATCTTCCTAGAATATAAGTTTTCAAAGTAGCCCTAATGATTTTTAGGATTTCTGCAGGAAGCACTGTAATTTCTCCCTTTTCATTCCTAATTGCATGGATTTGGGTCTTTTCTTTCCTTGTTTTATAAAGGTTGCCTAAGGGTTTGTCTTTTATTTGAATCACTTCAGTACCTCCTGGATTTGCCTTGGGCGAGTTGGAGGTCTAAGGTTGCATCTTGTTTCCATGTTTTCTCATTTTCTGTTTTTTAAATTGTAAATTGCTTATGAAATGTAGCTTTATTACCAGTATTTACGACCTCTTGACTAGTAGGAAATGGCTATTTTTCTGAGATGTCTTCTAGGTATAACCAGCTGGCTTTTGGCTTTTCAATCTAAATCAGCATCCCTCCCCGTCAGTTTATTGGGGATGAGAGGTTGCTGCCTATTGGGCCTAGCCCCAAGTTCTTTGTACTAGACTGGTATTTTTTTATGACCTCCCAGACAATCTCAGTATTGGCATACAAGGAAGAACACCTGATCAGAAAAACTATGTTGCCTTGGCTAAATTAGTACAATTACTAATAACGGTATCCTCAAGAAGTATAGGAGGTGGTGAACTGTGGAAACTGTTAATTTGCCATCTTTAACTATAGGTACAAGATTTATAGTTATATAACAAAACCTAAAATCAGAAAATTATATACAGTATAATACTGAGGAGATATATTAATATCCCCTCAATAGAGTGCTTTTATCCTTCAGAAAGAAAATTTAAAAGAGAAAAGTGAAAAAAATAGATAAATAAGCAGAAGTGATTAGAAGGCTTAAAGCAAAGGAAGGTTACTTGGGAAACTGGTGAAGAAGACAGGAGAAAAAGAAAGAAAAAGGATTTTTAAAAAACCCTAAAAAATAGTGTATTCACACTTATGAAAAACCAACCAAACAAAAGGGAAAAATGATTTCTCTGTGATTTCAAGCCTGTGGTTATCTTCTGGGGTCTTTGTAGTTTCATGGTAGTGTCCAACTCAGTGTGTGTCTCTGCTGTCACGGAAAGCAGAGCCCAGATCCATGCTGGAGGGCCCCAGCCAGCCTGAGGCAGGAATAGGCTGCAGTGTTGATTCTGGTACTTTTGCCTCCAAAGCAGTTCAGACTGATCCTAGTCTCTGGTTGTAAAGTTGGGGCCGAAGTTGTTCAGCCTGCAACACTCTGGGTGTCTTTTGCTGGACGGACTTTAGCTCCCTGACCCTGGATGTCTCCCACTGTTGTTCCTCACCCAGTCACTGGGAGCCCTGAATGAAGCCAGTCCACTGCTGCTCCAAGTCCCAGGTTCAGTTGGCCCCTCCCTAAAGTGCTTTGGGCCAAGCATCCTCTCTAGGGACAGCGCAGATGCTTGGACTGGAACCATTCACCTGGTATTATAGCTCACAGCAGCCACTGCACCGTTCCCCTAGTGTGGTCTCCCTGGAGGCCTCTAGAGTCACCCACCCTCTCTGTGACTGTGTAGATTCAAGCCAGAAGCGAGGGAGAAAGTGTGTTTTGCTACCTCCTTTTTCTGCATTGAGGCCTGTCTCTTTACTTCCCCTTCGGGCTCCAGTTTTCCCTTCAGATCCTTTCTCCTTTTTCTCTTCCCAAGTTATTATATTCCAGTGTCCGGATTCCAAATTTTGGAGAGGTTGATTTGTTGCTGTCTTTGAGCTGCATTTCTAAAACACAGATGTCTTTGAATCTGCTTAGAACCCTTCCCTTATGAAAGGGTCTTCCTTTTCCACAGGAGTCGTTCCAGGGCCCTTGACTCAGCACTGTCATGTGTCACTCTTTCATGTGGTCTCTCCTTGATTTGTTACCCTCTTACGGGATTTCCTTAGCAGGTTCCCTTGCTGTCTGCTCTACTGAAGCCAAATGACACCAAGCAAACAGTCACACTTTGCCCTTGAACCTGTGAACTCATGGTGTTGGCTCTGCCCAGGAGGTACCTTCCCTCCCATTCCCAGGCCATTTGGCAACTCTTACCCAGTCTTCAGGCCTGGGCTTGCCCATCTCCATCAGGAAAACCTGCCCTGATACCACCCTTCCTGTCTTTGGACTCTGACATGCCTTTTCGCTAGGGCTGCCTGCACTACATGTGTCTGTTCCCCTAGTTGCTAGGTAGCTGACTTTACATTTCTACCCTTGGTGCCTTGCTAGAGCTAGGCATTAAGTAAACCAGTAAGTAGGTTTGTCCTCTGAGCGAGCATGTCCCAGAGTTGGGAGCAGCAATTTTCTGCTTTGTTGTTTCCAGTAATGATCTGAGCAAGCCTTGTCATAAAGAAGAAAATACAGTTTTGCACATGCTGTGAGAAGTCATACTTCCTAAGTGTCCGCTCCTGAAGAGCCAAGCTTGCAATGGTCAGCAGGCAGTACAGAACCTCTGTGATCTTCACTGGGCTTATTGTATTTTGTTACATGTTAAAAGAGAGAGTACTTAGCAGTAGCATAAACAGTGAGTAGACCAGTGACTTCTGTGTGTATTTTGCCTTACGTGGCTGCTTTGGGAAGCTGCTGCTGTCTGTCTTTTCTTCCAGTCAAACGCTTCAGAGAACCAAAGCATGAAAGACGTCCGTGGAGGATATGGTACGTACTGAAGTATGAACTTACTCCTAGAATGGTTTTGATTGTTGAGTTTTGCAGGGCCAGGTATTCAGAGGTGGCCATGGTAAGTAGGGAATGAAATACAAAAAAGTATACGTAACATAGAGTGTCTGGAACCCTTCACTGAGTTAATCATTAGGACTATGTATAATGGGAAAGCATTTCTAATTTCCAGATTACTTTTCCAGATTACTTTTGATCCCTAGCATTATTTTATGATCACACTGTTTCTAATCTTAGAAGATAGAAAATAATACATCTTTCTCTACTGCAGGCATCTTTGTGTCTTACCACCCTGTTTTTAGATTATGTTTAAATTCTTGGATTCTGTAGTATATACATATAAACCAAAAAGAATCCAAATTTGGAGATTGTCAACTACCATTATCATATACCACATAAATGCTGCTCTGCCCCAAACTGGTCTTCCTTGGACCCACTATAAAGGAAAACTTTTTATATTCATGACCCTTCTGACACAAAATGTACAGGTTTTTCCTTCCATACTAATCAGTTTTCCAGCAGCCCAGATACTGCTACTTGAACATATCATAATTTAACTCAATTCTGATACCAATTGCCTGAGTTAGCAGAGACACCAAAGGCTGAGGACTCAGTGCCACAAACCTGCCCTTCCACTTCAGATGCTAATCATGAGTAGTGGATCCTCAGGGAACCCATACTTCTGACCTACTTTGTGGCTACAAAGTAGGGAGTATATACAGCCCCGTCCTCTGTTCAGGACTTTGCTAAAACAGTTCATAAAACTCTGTGAAACATTATTTCCATTAACTGGTTTATTATAAAGGATAAAGATGGGCAGCCAGATGAAGAGATCTGTAGAAAAAGGTCTGGGAGGTTTCTGAGCTTGGGACCTTCTGTACCTGAGGATTTAGGGTGCACCATCCTCCATGAGCCCAAAGCTCTCCAGATCATGTAGTTGAAGGATTTGTGTGGGGGCTTCATCACATAGTCACAATTGACAGTCAACTCAAACGCAAGCCCCTCTGGCCCTGGAGGATGGTGTTGAGAGGGAGGGGCTTCTGATCGTAGCTCAGTCTTTCTGGTGACTTTGTCCATGCTGCAGCTGTCTAGGAGCCACAAAGTGTCAGATCATTAAAACAAAGGATTCTGTCACCCCAAACATTCCAAAGGACTAGGAGCTCTGTAACAGGAACTAGAGTCAGAAACCAAGTATTAGGACAAAGTTGCTGTAGCACCCCTATCATCACTCAAGAAGTCGCAAAGGGTTTAGGGGCTTTGTGTCAAGAAATGAGCAGAGACCAAGTGTGTATTCATTTAGATAGATACTCAAGCCTGTTTCCTAAAGGATGACCCTGCAGTGACAATTTTTGTGGGTATAAGGTGGTAAAGCTTTACAGATAAGTTCAGAAGACAAAATTCCAAAATACCCAGTCACTTGGAAGGAGACTGCCAGCCCCTCAGGACAGCTACTGTCTACAGGAAGCTGGTTTTGTAGGCTGCTTGGTCTGCTCTTGTGTACACAAAACACTTGCCTTCAGAGAAAACCTTAATAGGTCACTGTGATAATGGCACTTCATAAAATTTTAAGCATATATTTGTCTTAAAGACATTACTGCCAAATATTAATAATCTTTGGGGTTTTTTCCCTGCTCATTGGTTTTCTCAGATCTGGGTATTTGGATTCTAACTAGGTGACTCCCAAACTCAGCACTAGGGAGGAACCTTGTGAAGACCTAGATCCAGAGATCTCTGAGTCTTATTATACACGCAGACCCTTCCCTGCCTTCTCCCTCTCCTTGTTTAGGGATTAGTTTTCAAGCTTTGTCTCCAGGTTGGTGTGGTTAACCTCTGTGGTCTGATTATTTTCTCCAAGTTGGATATTACCCTCCTGTCCCGACTTAATAACAAGTGCCATTTCTATTTTATGCAGGTTTTTAGATACTTCCAAACAAGCCATAGGGATGCTGTTCATCCATTTTGCAAATGTGTACTTAGCAGATCTCACTGAAGAGGACCCTTGTTCACTGTAAGTGGCCCAGGTTAAGTACAGACACGGTCCACCCTCCACTGAGAATGTGGGCTGGCTTGGTTCGGCCACCGTTTCACCTCCATAGCTTGGGGAGGACCTCCATTTCTTCTGTGTTCCCCTGAGAACTCATCGCACACAGCTTCAGCTGGCTCTCAAGGCCTTACCCCATGCATATACATCTCCCAGCCTCCCAGCTACCCTTGGTACCGTAGGACAAAGCCCTATTCTGTTCCAGAATAGGGCATGGAGTGGAGAGGGTTCTCTATGGTATCAGCCACTCACTGTCAGATTATCTTTGACTATCGTTTATCTCTTCAACCTCAAGAGCAGGGGATTTTCTGCCTTGCAGTGCAAAATACTTTCACAGCCCCAGAGCATCTGTCTGAAATGTTCACCTGGCCGTAAATCCTGTCCTCCTTGCTGATAGTGCCCAAGTGGTTCTCTTAGCAGATGGTTACGGAAACTGGCTTCCTTCATCTCCTGCCTTCTTTTATCCACAGAACAGCCTTGCCCCACAGAAGCTTTGATGAGCTCTGCTTTCTAGCTAGAGAGTTAAGGTACAAAGAGGTTTGACTGCTTAAATTCATACAATTCTGGAGCGGTAAAACTGGACTCAAGTCCAGTATGCTTGGCTCCAAGGCCTGCACGATGCCCTGCTGCCTGCCCATCTTCCTGTGTTGAGAACAGAGTATAGAGCTTGCTCTTTATTCCTAAGGCCAGCGTGCAGCAGGCTCAAGAAGTATTCAGTGAGCGAAGGTATGAACGTAAGGCATGTTTGTACATCAGTCATCCTTGTGATTTTTATATTGGGTCTTAGGATGTGAGGCCCACTGGACACTAATTAGATGTGAGCAGAGCCACCTGGCCTCAGGCCAGAGGAGAAATTACCTTGGAGGCCTGTGGTTTTCCATCTCTGGTCTAAGAGTGACCCCTTGTGACTTTAAACGGGAAGGGCAGGCTGTGAAATAACTGTCCCCTTTCCCTCTCTAATCTGGTTTCTGGCCTCTGGAGACTGAACACAGTGTGCTTCCTTTGGCATTGGCATGCTGTGCACATCACAGAAGCTCTGGCTGGGTAGAGCAGAATCTGCCCATAGCCAGGTCCCATGGTATCCTGGAGCTCATCAGCAGGGATTTTGAGCCTTGTGTCACAGAGGGTCACTGCCAACCTTGTCTCCCACTGTGCCACAGTGAGCAGTACTCTCCTGGAGCTGAGTGCAGGCCCTCAAGGGAGAGCAGATAGGAAAAGGGCTTTTCTTTGGTAAGGATCAAGGTTTTGTGTCAGATACATGGGACCACCTTACCAGAATTGTGGTCTGCACACGGCAGGCCTCTGACCCTCCTGCTTCCTCCAGTCCTCCAGCCTTTCCTCCTGGGGAATAAACCTTTCCTTAGTGCAAAAATATCACTTGTAATATTGCAGACAGGGGCATATGAGGGATATGTAGTCCTGCCCTCTTTGTCTAAGAAACTCTGAGAGCATTTTCCTAAACTTCCCGGGGTAGCAGCACTGTTTCAGGCCTTCTGTGGCCATACCAATAGGGTATAAACATCACTGGACAGATTTTGTTGTTGTTGTTGTTGTTTATTGGTACCAGGGATCGAACTCACAACCATGTGCTTGCAAGGCAGGCGCTTAGGCTGCTGAGCTAAATTTCCAACCCCCCCCCCTTTTTTTTTTTTTGTTGTTATTATTAATTATGTCTTATTTTGCCATCTATTTCCTTGGCTGCTTCCAAGGACTCTGTCTTCTATGGAATGTTGGCTTGGCAAGAACATGAGGTTTTTAAAGTTTCTTTATCCCTCTCCTACCTCATCTTGCTGAGAATTAGCACCTTAGTGGGAAGTGAGAGCCACAACCCCTGCAGCCTGCCACAGGGGCTGACTGGAATCCCTTGGAACAAGGCCAGACAACATGCTGGGCCAGTCAGTTTCTCTTTGGGCTCTGTCTACATCAGTCTTCACCTTAGACCTTGGCAAGTACTGCACTGAGGGCACAGCTAGTGATGTTTACCCCTTTCCTCATAGGTACCTCATTAACTTTCTTCTGGATGCCACCGTGGGCATGCTACTCATCTATGTGGGTGTGCGTGCTGTCAGTGTCCTGGTGGAGTGGCAGCAGTGGGAATCCCTGCGCTTTGGCGAATATGGTAATACACCACGGGCATACACCACGGGCACAGGGTGGTGGTGGTGGTGGTGGTGGGGAACTGGGAGCTGTCTCTTCTGCATGGTGGGCAAGGCTACTTCTCTGGGTGGTGGGTGCCTGCTTCACTGGCAAAGCTCTTACCTTGTTTCAGAGAAGGTTACAGGAAGTACTGGACTTATAGGGGCTGAATGTTAGCTGTTTTTACTTAAGAGCACTGGCAGTTCTTTCTGGGCTGCAGGGCTGCCTCATTTGTCCAGGCTTCCTATAGAGTTCACCTAGCACGTTGGAGAGATGCAGGCAACTTTCTCTTGGGAGGTAGAAGTCCTGCCCCTCTTTCTGTTGCATATCTGCGTTTGACCTGTTGTTAGGGCATTCCACTGGCAGAGAGGAGCTCACATAGGCAAAACTAAATGGTGCATTCTATTTGAAGTTAGAATACCTTGCTTTCTCCCAAATGCTGACTTGCTCCCCCTCCCAATCTGGCTTCAGGATAGACCAATCACCAGGGACACAAGGTCAATCCTCACTCAGAGGCTTGAAACAGCTGATTTGTGTATACTGGCCCATCTCATCAGACCCATTCAGATAGAACTTCAGTAGCAACCTACCTTCCTACTGGCTCTGAGCATGAGAAATGGCTAGATGTGGCCTCAACCAGCTGCCCTCAGTGGCACAGACACCTGCCTGGCAAGTGCAAAGTCGTGAATTCAATTCCTGATACCAAACACACACATACACACACAAATACAAATAAGCTGCCCCTGGGGTTTCAGGATAGGACTAAGGGGTCAGCTGTTTCCCATCTTTCCAGTTAGTTCCTGCTGTCTGCAGGCAGGAGCAGCAGCAGTGGAGCCTTTGCCATGAGAGGGTACACAGAACAAGAGAAAGAAGTACAGATAGAATCCTGGGTTCCAGTCTCCTTTCATGATCACACCTTCCAAAAAAGCTCATTACCATTACTCTGGGCCCAAGGACCACTCACTTCTAGATGGTCGAAGACTCTCAGTGGACTGACAGTTTAGATGGGAGCCGATTTGTGAAGTTAGCGAGTGCCTTGGATATTTCTAGAAACCTTAAGTATAATTGTTTGTCGCCATTGAGAAAAAATGAGCTTAGGAGAGGGCTTTTCTTAGCTCTGCTATTTGATGCCTGGTGAGTCACTGACTTAAGATAGTGTCCAGCACGCAGCCTGTACCTCCTGGGCTCCAGGGAAGGCTCTCCAAGTCATCAGTTCCTCAGCTTGCAGGATGGAAATGGACCCAGCATGTGTGAACCAATGCAGCACCATCCTCATTTATAGACTAGGTATCTAGAGAAATTGGGTGATTCACAAAGTGTACCCAACCAGCATGTGGCTGAAGACCTCATGGCCTCTGTGGTGGGCTACCTGAATCCTGCCACCTCCACAGACTGCTCATGACCACTATTCCTTTGCTACTGAGATTCCCTTCTGGAAAGCAAAGCTCTCAAGCCCATCATAACCAACCAGACAGCAGGACTCTAAACTGAACTATAGCCACCCAGATCAGGGCCCTTGACTCAAGTACAACCAGCCGGAGCTAAGGTAGATCCCACAGTCAACTGTATACTACTCAGGTACCTGGAGTGGGGATCAATTCTCAACCTGTTACACTCAGCACTACAGCAGGCCTATTCCCAGATGTGTTGTCTGCAGTCTGAAGAGTGAGTCAGCAGGAAGGAGGCAATGATGATGTTCGTGCCATTTGGTCTGACATTGCCTTCTCGGTTACTAACCTTGGGGACGAGTCTTCAAGCAGGGGCAAATTGTCTCCAGAGATACTTGCTCTTTGCTAAGGACCATCACAAGTCTCACTTGCCAGACTGTCTCTTCACTCTTCAGTTAACTACTCCTTTCTGTCAGCTTGTGTTGTTTTCTGTCTCTGTTGTAACAAATTAACATAGACTTAGGGAATAAAGCACAAATTAATTATAGTTCTTTCCTTCAGAAGTGAAACATGATTTTCTTGAACTAAAATCAGGGTGACGTTGGGAACAGACCCTTCAGGAATTGATAGAAGAGGTTGTTCTGTTGCACCTTCCCAGCCTTAGAGACTGTATTCCTTGGCCCGTGGTTCCCCACTTTCAAAGCCAGCAACAGCAGATCCGGTTCTTCTCACATCACACTGCTCCGACCTTGCTCCTCTGACCTTTGCTGCCTTCCACCGTACAGTGTCCCTGCAGTTACACTGGGCGCACCTGGGTGTTCAGAGGCTGTCCCTGTCTTAACATAGCTGATTACTCTTGTTGCCAGCCGTTATTCCCCTTTGCTTAGTAATGTTGCATACTCCCAGGTTCTGGGGATCAGCATGTGGACCCTTACTCTGCCTGAGACACCTGGGAACCTGTCTGCATTTAAGGCAGAAACTCCACGTAGGCCCCACAACTTTCTATTGTAAATGAAGGAGAGAAACGTGCTTTTGGGGAAGCTTGCATGGTTTCTAGAAGAAAGTACACAGGATTTGAGAAGTAGGCTGCACTTGCCCAGTCGGAGGTGTCTGTAGTCTGATAACTGGGCTGCCCTCTCCCTGAAAGTGAGGTCTGCATCCCACAGGGGCAGTGTGTCATGGGCTTTGCTGCCCGTCTCTACTCAAAGGCTCCCTTCCAGGAGCCTTGCAGCACGAGCTTGATCCCTCCTTTTGGGCCCTATTCCTGCAACCTTAAAACCAAACAGCCATGTACCTGAGGTTATCCAGTAAAAGACAGGGCACGGTGACTACACCTGACTCTGGGAGTACTTGACTGTCAGCGGAACAGAAACGAGCACAAATGTGCATTCCTGCTGTGGTGAGATGAGTTTGGAGTCTCTAAGAGCTGATGTGTTGGAGCGAGATCACTGGTGCTTTTTTCCTCTCTTCACTGTGGTTTTGGGCTTTATTTTAAACTTTGTTTTAGTTAAAACAGAGGGAAGAGGCAACTCAGTTGTGCACCAGAATCTCAGATGTGAGGCAGATGGCAGGGAAAGTACTTTCCGTTCATCAGTCTAAGTGAGTGGAGGGTGTACACTGTGACCAAGTAGTGTTTTGATAGTAAATAAATGCTGCCCTTTCCCCCCACTGACTTCCAGGCACACGGTGTCAATTCAGAGACATTTCTTGTCTGGCTATTCCCAGTCTTGCTTAATTAAGCAAATAATTTCATCTACTTTCTCCATAAGGTCAGGAGATTCACCGTAAGCATTGCAAAAACCTATAACAACCTCACAAGGAGGGGTGTACTTTGGAAATGGGTTGTTTTTGGCTCCATCACCTTACCTTAGAGTTGAAAGTAGATGGGAAGACCTCAGACGAGGCAGCTGGTATGTTTGCCCCTGCTTTCTGCTGAATGGGAACAGCCTGGTGATCTGTCGATTACAACTACCTGGAGGCACTCCCTGTGCTTCTGCCTGTACACTGGCAGCCCCAGATGGCCTTGGGGACCTGTACAGCACAGGGATTAGAGTGCCATGGAAATGTTGGAATCAAATGAGGAGCTGACGATTGCCCTTCTGGGTGAATTCTCTTCTCACTGCCTGGATTAGAGCCTTTGCCTCCTAAAATATTTCTCTACCCTCCTTCATTCTGACCAGTGGTGTTCAGCAGCTCTGACAGAGCTTTTGGGGCAACCCCCAGTGATTTCCCACTTTGGAGAGGCTTATGTAGCTCCCAGGACCTGTCACTAGGTTCTGCATGTTGAGATCATTCCCTTGACGGGCGGGTCCTCTACCCTACATTGAGTCCTTTGTGAAGCATTCTGGGGGTTCGCCAAGAACAGAGTATCCTGGACTGGTGCCCCTTTCAAGTTTTCCAGTATAGTAACCAATAGGATCACTGGGGGGCTTTTGTCACCACTGCAGGCCTCTGCTCATCATTCCCAATTCCTTGCTTTAAGGGCTTTTCTCTTTCTTGTCCTAGCCAGGGTATTTAAGGTTACCCGTATAGAACATATAGAACCTTAGTTCCTCCCAGGATGGATTTCTGCCATCAGGGAGGGAGAGCAACCAGGAAGTAGCATAAGAGGTAGGAGGTTGAAAGTTGGGAAATGAACATGGAGGTCTATTACTGCCTTTGTAAATCACTCATCTGAGGAAAGGAAGGATAACACAGTCACTGGAAAAATCAACAACAGATAATAATAGCAGTCTTGCTTCATACAGCGTCTGCTGCCAGGGCACAGAGAGCCAGCCTTTCTGGGTCCCAGCAGGAGCACTTACTAACTTTAGTGCCTTTTAATTCTTAGACTCTCTTGAAATAAAGATGATTCTAGTATGTCCAAATTGGAAATTCTGATTTTACTTAAAACATTGCATTTGCCTGTTAGAAATGAAGTGGTGCTCAGGGCCACTTTAAGTATCTTTAGAGCCAGGACTCTAGGATGTGGCTGGGTATGAGGGCTCACAAAAGACCTGGGTGGGGGCAGTTGGGCGGGCATGTTGTCTCGGATGCCTGGGCCTGCGACTACACACCCACCTGTCCTTGCAGGAGACCCTCTGCAGTGGCGAGCCTGGGCTGGGCAGTGCGCCCTTTACATCGTGATTATGATCTTTGAAAAGTCTGTTGTCTTCATCGTACTCCTCATACTTCAGTGGAAAAAGGTTTGCCACTTGTCCCTGCTGCAGAAGCTGCCTGCTAAGCTAAGCAAACAGCACTTCCTCCTATCACCCACACACTCCAGCCCTGTTGGAAAACCCAGTTTGATTTCTGTTTTAACTCCATGAATAGACCCTGTCTTTGGTCTGATAGGGCAACATTTATAAGAGCCTTAACTTCATTTTTTTACTTAGCACCCATCCATCTTATTTACATAAGTGTCCACCCTAAATTAAGCCAGGGGATATATAAACCAAAGAAAATGCAGGTTCTGCCTGTGGGTTGCTTACTGACTGATTAGGCTTCAGATCTTGCCATTGTCATTTTTCTCTGAAAGACATATTTGTTTTTGCCAGTTACTTAACTGAGCCATTTGGGGCTGCAGTCAGCTTCCTGGTCTGTGACCACCAGCATGTACACACTCCAGTGAGTTCATAGTTTTCCCCAGCCTGACCTTTGCCCTCTGGCCTAATGCCACACAGATATGCCTCCACTGCTCAGGAAGCAGCCCCAATCTTCCAGAACATGTGGCTCCATTCTTGGCCTCCATTTGGTTTTATTTGTGACTGGGCTTTATTTTTTTAAGAAAGTAAGCCAAGGCATTTCAGTGCATTGACTCACATGAGTGGTTGGGGTCCACTTGTCTGCTAGAAAGTGGTCTTGCTGCTCATGTCACTAATGAGTATCCTCTGAATTCCTCTCTCCAGTCCCCAATGCCCACAGTCCCCCCCACCTTGGCCTTTCTAGTCACTGTGGACACAGCTTGGCTCTAGCTCTAGTTGTAAGCCTACCACACCTAGCAAATCCAACTGCTCAAAAAGTTATGGTCTACAGCGGGGGGGGAGGGTGTCCCCACATTACAGTCAGATCTGGGGGACTACACTTAATTCAGGGCTGGTGTTAAGGCTGTTCTTGTCCAGCTCTGGGGGGAGGGTGTCTTAGCCTAGTCCCTCTCAAGGCTTCTCAGCCCTGCCTTGTGCCTGTCCCCCTCACTTCCTCTACTCTCTTCACAGGTGGCCCTCTTGAATCCCATTGAAAACCCAGACCTGAAACTGGCCATTGTCATGCTGATCGTCCCCTTCTTTGTCAATGTCAGTATCATGTTGCATTTTACCTGGTTTGGGTCCTGGCCTCCATATTTCTGTTCAAAGTTTACAGTCTGACAAAAAGAAAAAAAGTCTCATTCGATAGCCTTCAGGTCTTTCTTTCTGTGTAATCAGTTGTCATCTCCCCACTTCTGCCCTGGAAAGGGCAGGATTTCTTCATTAAAAGGCAGGTTCCCACTCAGGACCCCTATATAAGATGAAGGGTCCTGGGGATTTTGTCTTGCCCTTCCTGCCAGTTACTCTACCACCAAGATACCCCTCCCTGTGACCCTGAATTCTAGATTAGGATCATTTTGAATGCTCCCCAGTTCTTTTTCCACAGACAGTCCTCTGAAAAATTTGTGACGCAGTGGCTAAAAGACAGGAAATAGGAATGTTGTAGGAATCTGGGCACACAGAAGCAGTATAGCCACCCTTTAGGGACCCACATAGATGGCCTAGAATAGATGTCCAGAGACCTTTATCTTGAGCCCAACAGGCAGCCAGTCACTTACTACAAGAAAAACTCCTTGGTAAAGAGGCTGAGGATTTTCTTGCCTATTTTCTAGTAAGAAGATTGCACCAGGGAAATAGAGATTAGGAGTCTCTCACAAAGCTTCTAGGAGATAAAGAGGGTTGGGGCATGAGGTTTCTCCTCCTCCTTCTGAATTTTGTGACACAGAATGGCCTGGGGAAGGGTGGTTGTGGGAATGTTCTGCTCTGCTGTGAGATTAGCTTGTACCACAGTAACCTGTACTTTTCCTTCCACAGGCTTTGATGTTTTGGGTAGTAGACAATTTCCTCATGAGAAAAGGGAAGACGAAAGCTAAGCTAGAAGAGAGAGGAGCAAACCAGGACTCCAGGAATGGGAGCAAAGTCCGCTACCGAAGGGCCGCATCCCACGAGGAATCTGAGTCTGAGGTAGGAGTCTCTCCCCTGACTCTCCGTGGCCTGATGTTGCACTTCTGGCCCTGGAAGCCTCTGGTCTCACTTTTGCATTTGGTCTTCTCTTGAGTGCTGAGTCACAGTATACCCAGAGAGAGGAAGAGGCCAGGTCACAGCTCCCACCCAGCCAGTGATCAGGCCTGCTGCTGAGTGGGTCTTCTTTAGGACAAGAGGGCAGAGCACAAGGTAAGTGTGGCCTGCCTTCCACGGTCCCACCGTCAGTGGAGAAAGACAGCAAAGAAGGAGATGCCTTGTTCCAGGGAAGCTGGCAAGGACCTTCGTGAGCCTTGCATTTGGCCTTCAAGTGTTAGTTGTTAAATCGTAGCCCACCACTAACAAGTCTGGAAGTTTTTGCAGCCACCTGTTAACTTGTAAAGAAGGGAGTAGACAGGTGTGAAAGAGATGGCCTCATCTCCCTTATATCCCGGACTCCCGAAGGCATTGACTGCAGGGAAGGATGGTAATCATGAGCAGCAGCATAGAGGCAAGGGTTTCTGGGCTGGCGCTCACAGTACTCACTGCTTACATGTGAGCCGCAACCTGCAGACTTGTGTGTAGGTGAAGATAGGTGCACAGAGAATTCCTCACAGGGCAGTGCATTCTGAGGCACACATAGCACCCTAGCAGGCCCCTGGGGCTGTCTGGGGATTTTCAGAAGATAACTGGAATAGAGCTTAAGCCCATGTCTTCTCTAGGTGTGTTCCTAGAATCCAGCACAGGGCTCGTCATATCATCAGAGCTTAGTAAACATTTGGTGAGTGACAAATGGCATTACAGACAGAAAGAGCAGCTTGTGAACATTCAGCCACATGTTTTGGGGCCTGGGTAATATGAAATTCACTGTGGCCAGAGCAGTATTTATTCCAGTGTATAGGATGGACTGACAAAAAGGAGAGACTAGCAAAGTTTGCGCCAGCCAAGTAAGGTACTTTGTGCCTGGGCTATGCTTGCACAGGCAATAGTGAAAGCTCAATCAGGCCTTCAAAACAGTGACGGTAGACCTATGACACACGTGCTGCAGCAGGCACATGAGCCAATCACCCCAGCAACTGAACATCAGATAACAGTACAGATAGGGCCAGAGTTGGCACTTTGCAGTATGTAAGTGATTTGGGTTGCAGTTTGGACACTCAAGTTTCTGAAAGATTTGCCATCACCGTCTCAAGAGATCAGTCCATTGGAGAAGTGATGGCTGTTGGCCCTGCTCCTGGAGCAGAAGGAGTTCATATTTTCCTGCACAGTGAGCCCGGGCCTCTCCCACTTAGTGTGGGTTCTGCTGGTCTTTCTTTGATGCTTAGAGATCTGAGGCCAGTAGGTGCCACGACAGTGAACAGGGGATGAGCATAGTTGTTCTGGAAGCTCAGTCTGTGTGATGAGTTATTCAAGGGGCTCAGACAAGCAAACATTCCTATTTGCCTTCAATGATGGTGAAGTTCTTCAGAGTGACAAAACAGCCCCTCTGAATCCCCCTGCCCTATGTACATCCCATGAACAATTTCTTTTCCTTTTGAAAAGAGGGTTTTTGGTTTACTTCTGCTGTATTTAAGGCAGCTTCAAGGCTCTAGATTCCCTATATGAAATCAAGCTGCAGGTTCCTGTTAACTGATTGGCGGTCCAGCTAGAGAATGGGAGAAGAGGGTGGGAGCGTCAGCAGAGACAGAAGGTCTGTCAACTCAGTGCTGGTTTCTGTTTATGTGAAGAAGCGCCACCCTGGAACCTCCTGGAGCACCCAGGTGTACAGCAGGCAGAGGCAGAAGGCACTGCTCAGCGTCTCAGGCCATGCTTCTCCTCTGCCCCAGATCCTGATCTCAGCTGACGATGAGATGGAGGAATCCGATGTGGAGGAGGACCTTTGCAGACTGACGCCCCTCAAGCCTGGGAAGAAGAAAAAGCACCGCTTTGGGCTGCCTGTATGACACATTCCAATGCTGGGGGTGACAAGTTTGGGGCCCGGCCAGCTGCTGTGTCAGCAGATGGTCACCCCACAGCATCAGCCCTTCCGTCCGTTCTCTGCCCCTCCTCTTCTACCTCCACTCCTCCACTGTCTCTGCCCATTCTCTGCCCACTCCCAGACTACTGTGACGTAAACAGGGAAGAAGAACCAGCGCCCAAGTGGGCCGTGGGCAGCTGGAGGTACCCCGCTCAGTTGCACTACAAACACTGACCAAATATGCAAGCCAAGAGCTTTGTTTGTCATTGTCCTGAACAGTGCTGTGAGGGACCCCAAAGCTCCTGTCCTGTGTCCGACTGGGTGGCATGGTAGAAAACACAGGTATACATGGACCTCACCGAGGCTGCAGGCAGTGTGGGCACATGATATGTTTGGGGCTAGAAGTCATTCATTGACCAAGTTGGAACGGAAATGTTTTCTTACTCTAAATGGCTTTTGTAACTCTTGATTTCTAAAGCCGGTTTTATGAGCTGTGACAGTGTTACTGTTTTTTGAGTACGTGTTTATTCCTACAAAATACCTATGGGACTAATGAGCAAAACAGATTTTTAAGTCTTCCGTATACTGTTTCACTTTTATATTTTTTTAAGTTATATTTTCATACTATTGTATTTAAAAGCTTTTTAATCCCCAAAGAAATGGATTTGTTTGCCTTTCATGGTATATGAGCTGGCGGGAGGACAAAGTCAAAAGTTTTTACTTGGAATATTGTTAGGTAATGTTCAATGAGTCAAGATAAGATTCAGGGACAGAACTTAATTTAAAAAAAAAAAAAAAAAGATTCAAGGGGAGATGAGCAACCTTAACTAGAAGCCCAGTATGTAGAGAACAGGCCTGAGTAGGAGGCAGCTAGTCCAAAGCTCTTTGGCATCTGTTTCTGGAATGCAGACAGGTTACAGGTATTAGTTAATTTTGGCTGAGAAAAGACTCTTAAAGTTAGATCTTGTGTCCAGAGGAATCCAGACCCCCAGGCTGCTTGTATTCCTTGCTTCCACTGTGGCAGCCTGCAGCACTAGCCCTGCCCTGGTGTGTCACCTGCTGTCATCTGCTCATTTGCACAGCAGTCTGATGAATACCCACCTGGCCAAGTGAGTCTCTTTTTACACCCCACAAAGCTGCAAGTGGACTAGTAGAGCAGGCAGAGATGAGAGAGCTCCCTGTCCAAATCCATAGCAGCACAAGGTGCTTCTAGGCTATGTCCCTAGTTTGGATGGTGGCACCTATGTCTCAGTATAGCCAAAAGCCCCTGGCTCTGGGAGTTGGCCGAATGTGGTGGAGTGGGCTGAGCCCAGCACTTCCCTGCTGTGGAAGCAGCATGGTGGAGCTGTCCAGGGTTCATCAAGCCGACAGGCTGCCATGGACACATAGAACAAGAAACCTCAGTGGTGCAGTATGGGTGGGAAGACGGACAGTGGAGACAACCCTGTGCATCCTTCTTTTTAAACTCGTGTGTTTTCCTTAAGCATCATGGGTCTGAATATGTGTGGAGTGGGTGAGCCAAGCTGTTAAAGCAGGCCTGCAGGACTGTCCCTGCTGCTTATGGTGCTGCCAGTCCTGGACCCCGGAGAACACCTTGGAAGACCCTCTCAGCCCAACTTCCCCTAGAAATGCAGACACCACCAGGATGGGGACTAGCTATGCAGTAGGAGTTGATTTTGTCAGCATGGCCATCATGGCCACGGGAGTGGAGTGGCTGGCAGTGAGAGAGCCATGGAGAGGGAGTCTCTCTTAGGCCTGCATGGCTCCTGCTCTTGTTTGCTCCTGTACCTCTCCATTCCACACCTGTGATCTTTCCCCACCCCTCTCCAGTGGGGATCTACTGATCCCCTTTGAGAAGAACATGACTAGCACTCCTGATGAGTCTGTCCATCCCTAGTGGTATCATTGACCCTCCTTTCTTCCCCCCTCCTGTTCACTGTGGTGGGTCAACCTGTGAAGCTATTTGCCACCTTCCCACAGCCACATAGTCAGTTTTAAACTCCTAGTGTTTCCAAAGCAGGCACAGACGTGTGGGAGCTCCAGTCTATGAAAAACGGAAATTCCAAATTGCATTGACCTCAGATGATTCACCTACAGCCCAGCTCCTGCTGAGCAGTAGGTGTGGAAGACAGAAGAGGCAGTGAGAGCTGGGTTTTCCCAGAATGCTGATTTTTTTTAAAAAGGAGAAGCTGTGGAGCTGGCTTAGCAGGGATGGAGGTCTAATAGGAAGTCTGATCACAGCAGGCCTCCTGGAGTGCAGGCTTGGACAGCGTGGCAGCATATGTGTGGCCTTACCTTCTTCCCACATGGATGTATTTTACCTGACCCCACATGTGCACACATGTTCACATGCTGCAGGAGAGCTGCCGGTAGTCACTGGGTCCTCTTCTGTAGTTCACTGTCCCATGAAAGTCGAGGCAGGGCTGTGATCAGAACATCCTCCTGAGCTGTCCTTCCCCCAGGATAAGTTTCCTTACCGCCTGCTCCAAGGTGCCTTATGAGGTTGCAGCCCTTCACCGGCCCGGCTAATGCAGGCATCACCATGCTTGAGAAGCAATGAGATACTAATGGATATTGTGTTCTGTTAATCTCATTTGTCCAAATCTGGACTTTGAACAAGTTATCCATGGACAAGTTATCCAAGTCAAGGTCATGAACAAGTTTCTTGTAACTAATAAACCGATGAGGAGGAACTGTCATCTAACTAGAAGAGATGGTTATTGTTGTTATTTCCTTGTACTGTCGGTGGGACTTTGACAGTGACAGGGGGCGATAACAGTGAGATCATGGGTGGGAGTGGGCTCCTCAGTCTGCACATCCTGAAGATGTGTAGAGTGAGAGTTTGTGGCCCCTCAACCTCAGGTAGCCAGACCTACATGCTGGTGGCCTCTTGCCTCAAACTTGTGTCCTCCTTACAACAGGGAACCAAGATTAGTGGCACCTAATCTTCTTCAGGTAAAATATAAAGACTCACATGCAAGTTGTGACTTCCCTTCAGCCCAGGACACACTGAAGGCTGCCCCAGGACCTCCCAGGCTGACGTTCACTGGCCACTTCGTAGCCAGGTTAGGTGGCCCTAGGAGCTACCTGCCAGCCTGACAAAGCAGCCACCTTCGAGGGTGGAGAGCTGGCTCTTAGAGGCCCCTGTGCTGACAGCTAAGAGGCAGAGTTCTGTTTTACCCTGTAAGACATTGCTTTTGGTGAAGGACTTTCGGTCTGACCTGCTTTGAGAGTAGGTTAGTTGGTCGGTTGGTTGATTTGGTTGTTTTACATTTGTTTTTCCTTTTCATGAAATCAGACCTACATGAGCAAAAACTGTCAATTTTAGCTGGAGGTGTTTAGCCAGTGGTGTTACGAGTCACAGGAAAACATTTTTGAAATGAAAGGGAAGGTGATGTACTTACATTGTAAGATGATTTTCAATAAAGCTTTTACAGCTTATTATAGGTTTTATTTTTTAAAGAAACATTTTGTTGTTTTTGTTATTGGTTGTAGGTTTGCTAGAATTGGAACAGTGCAGTAGGGTTAAAAAAAAATTCCCGTAGAGAGTTAGAAGGCTTTCCCCCAGGGAACAGAGGAAGAAGGAACCTCATACGGCCTGATGGGAGCAGTGGAGCTGAAATCTACTAAAAAAAGTAACCAAATATGGCCATACTCTTCCCACTTCCTGGCTAATGAGCCTACGCCAGACTGCCTCCAGAGGAATGAGTTGTGTTGGCAGGTAGCATATGAGGAGTGAATTTCCCATGTCTTTGGCCCCTACAGCTGGACAGACAGAGCTACGGGGCAGTGCCAGACCTCAGGTACCACCCAGGTGGCCCCTCTAGCACTGGTGGAAGAGCCCTCAAAGGGCCTGCTGTGCGTGCCCTGCCTCTCAGCCCTGTTTGGCATCCCAGGCATTCCCCATGTCAGCATTTATCTCACACCCTGCCGGGCAGTCCTCACACTGGCATCTTGGGCCCAGAGAGGGTTTAGGGTGGAGGTTGAGGTATGACAGCAGTGAAGTGGCATTTGGGATAACCAAATGTCAGAGCCTGGTTGGGCTCCGTCTGCCAGAAGCCTTCATGGGTAAAAATAACCACCATAACAAACTGGAAAGGCCCTGCCAAGCACGGTGTCACACACCTGTAATTCCAGCATTTGGGAGACTGAAGCAAGAGGATTGTGAGTTTGAAGTTAACTTGGATAGGAAGATTCTGTTCTGTCTTTTAAAAAAAAAAAGAACCGACAGTCTAATGGGAAGAGCTTGGACCTATTCACATCCACTCCCCATGGCTACTTCATGCTTAGGGTCCTGCCATGTGCCCCTGGGAATCTTCCCCTGCAAAGATGAAGATGTGAAAACTTCCAGCACAAAGCCCTCAGTGACCTTCCAGGAGAGTCCTTGAGCCTGGCCTGTCTATCACTTGGTAGCTAGGGTGGGGTTCATTGTCCCCCAAGCTTCTTGTGGTGCTTAAACTGTTCACTGGCCAGCCCCCTAGTGACCCATGGCAGAGAGGCTCTCGCTCGAGCCCTCTTCATCAAGCCTGTTCTCCCTTCCCATCCTTCCTGGGCCCCTTACCTTCACCTTGCTGCATCCCTCTGCGTGCCTTGCACTGGTGGTGGATAGAGAACAAAGACATCAGCAAAACCCAGTGCAGCAGTTCCCAGACTCCCCTCAGCCTCACTCCCTCCACCTTTGTGAACCAGCACTGGCCCCTTCCTTGAAGGCTGTTGAGCAGATGCTTCTGAGAGATAGACAGGAAACTTCTGTCCTGCTGTCTTTGGGGGCTGGAAAGTCTTTTCCCACTGGAATCCAGGGAAAGAGAAGAGAAAAGCTTGCAGCATCTGACATAGCTCAGGACCCTGGTTCCTCAAAGACAGCCTCCCACACCGAGATGGGCCTCTGCAGACTCACATTCCAGAACTCATTTCTAAACACACAAGTCAGTCACCACCTGTGCTGGGCAGCTATTCCTGAGGGTACTGGGTCTCTCCAGCTGTCTGCTTCCTCTAGAGTACTGCCCCTCTCATCTCCAAGAATAAACTCTGAAGCTAGTGGCTGTGTGGACCTGAATCATCAGGGAGCCTGTTGGAGGAGGGGAGTGACTTCCCAGGACAGGGGAGAGCAGGCTATATAAACTCCAGAGAGCCAGGCTTCACGCAGATCTCGTCCCTCTGCTACTGCCTTCCAGAGTAGCCCTCGGAGAGCCAGCTTGCCCAGCACCCACCATGTCCCAGGTAGGAGATCCAGCACTGGCTGGGTTGGAGCCAGAGGGATCGGGGGAGGAGACCCAGATACTATCATTTCTGACAGCTGTCTTGAGCCTAGAACCAAACATAAACAGGCAGCGCTGTGACCAGCAAGGACACTCTAGGTCCCAGCTTACCTTCATAAATCTGTATTAAGTTTGACTCTGGTTATTCTGTGGTGGGTGGGTGAGGGTGGTGTGTGTGGCATTTCTGTAGATCTCTGTTTATGAGAGAGTTGTAGACATTTGTAGCTGTGGCTTTGCAGAGTGTGCATGTGTACACACACACATGCCTATAGATGCACAGCTTTATGCCCCTAAAGCTGTCTCTAGCAGTGTTTCTCTAGGAGATTTGGAGAGGTTGCCCCAGAAGCTTAGTACAGGCTGAAGGAGGGAATTCCTGCACCTGCCTCGAGGGCTTAGGAAAGTACAGATTTAGACTCCTAGGTGCCTGGGGTATGTGTGTAAGCACTGAGTCAGGATGTCCCAGCGCTGGACAGACAGCAGCCTGCCAAAGGAATGGATTGTCCTTGCTGTCTGTTCTGTGGGTGAGCACCAAGTTTGTACTGTAACTTTATGACATCTGGACTGTCTACCTCTCCCTTCCAGAAAAAATAAAAATACTGGTGGCTTCGTGGGGAGAAGGTTACTTTCTTTTTTTTTTTTTTTGGTCTTTTTCCTTTTTATCAGGGGATTGAACTCATGACTGCCTGCTTGGGCAAGCGCTTATGCCGCTGAGCTAAATCCCCAGCCCCAGAAGGTTACTTTCTAAAAGACCCCTTGTCACCCAGTGAGCAGGTTGCAGAACTCAATAGATTGCCTAGGCTTGTGCAGCCTCAAAGGTGATCCTCTCTTCCCCTCTGCCCATTGTGCCCCATCTGAATTTGGCTGGGCAGGCATGTGAGGCTGCCCCAGGAGCTCCCTGACTTGGGGAAAGCAGGTACACAGGTCAGACCAAGGTGGTAAGGGATGGGGTGTAGTGAAAAAGGCTTCTTGGAAGAGGAATGGGCCTCAGATTGACTTGAGTTCAGTAAGCTGAGGAAGAAGAACTTCAGAGGTACGGAAACAGTCTCTGTTTTGAGGCCTCAGATAATAAGACAGAGTTCTGGGCACCTCAAGGATGGCGTTCCTGAAGGCCCTATCAAGAAGAAGCGGCCCCCTGTGAAGGAAGAAGACCTCAAGGGGGCCCGAGGGAACCTGGCCAAGAATCAGGAAATCAAATCTAAGACCTACCAGGTCATGCGGGATTGTGGTAAGTGTCCTCCATGTCTGCTGCGGGTGAGGGTGGGGTTAGGGCACATAGTCTGCTGGGGATGGGGAAAGAAGGTCAAGGGTCCCTTCTAAGAGTCCAGAGCTCCTGGGCTAAGGAGGGGCTGCTTCCAGCACAAGGTGCCTCCTAGAGAGAGAGCTCTCAGGCCCTGATGGTACCCTGTGTTCCCTCCCCAGAGCAAGCTGGCATGGCCGCCCCATCGGTTTTCAGCCGCAGCCGCACAGGTACTGAGACGGTCTTTGAGAAGCCCAAAGCTGGACCAGCCAAGAGCATCTTTGGATGAGAAGTGCTGACCACTCCTATGCCGTCCTGACCCCTAGACACAGGAGCCTTTCCCATGAACTCTTTTTCTATGCCACAATGTGCCCTTTCCCCACTGGCTCCAGACTGCAGCCTCTCCCCCACTGCCCTGGCCCTTTGGTACCAGCATTGTGCAAACACCAATAAAGAAGATGCCCAGTTGACCTTGGCGTTGGGAGGGTGTTGATTGGTCATGGCACTGTCTGCAGAGAAGAGGGAGGATGGGGGCGGTGCATAGAGACATGCCTGTAGCCTTCCTGGGTTTTGGGAAGGCCCAGGGAATAATGCTGGTGCTTTTCAGGCCACTGAGACATCTTAGAGTCTTGGATATGGAGATCCTGTACTGACTCTGACTTCAGCCTCTTCTTATCCAAGCCTCAGTTTCCCCTTGTATATAACAGAAGAGTGAAGCTGGAGCCTGTACTGCTCAGAATAAAGTCAATGGAGGCCTGAAGTACCCCTCCCCCTGCCTGCCACAGAAGTCACTGAGGTACTTCATGGGACCTCAGCCCTCACAACAGCCCCCTGCCCCTGCCCCTGCACCTTCGTTCTCGCTGCCTCCTTGGCAGCTGCACACCTCTCAAAGACAAGGCCAGTCAGGGTTGCTCTGTGGCCAGTAGCAGTGAGTTTCCTTCCCTACTGTCTCCTTTTGCAAGCAGCAGATTGAGCCTCACCTCCACTTTCCAGCCCCCGCCCATGCTCCCAGGGCAAAGGATACCAAGTTTGCAGCAGTGTGTGATCCTTCCCTCTTCAGACCCCTGAGCCATGTGAATGGGACTGTCAAATTGGGAAACTTGAGACCATCCAGCTATAATGGCCTGACCATCGGCAGGCTGAGGCTGAACTGGCAGGCCTTGGGCTTGCAGTGCCTGGCACAAGGCCAAAACCTGCTGGGAAACCCCTTCTGTCCCCTGGGCCAGTGGACCTGGCAGCTTAGGCCCTTTCCCACATTCCCAGCTAGCCTGGCATCTTACATAGCTCTTACTCCAGGCTAAGCCTATGCTCTGTGCCCCATGAGAACAGACCATCTGTGGGGACAGAACCTGGGTTTGCACTCTGGGACCCTGGAGAAGCTCTTCCCCCAGATGCAAAAGGGATATGTTTCCCTATGGCCCCACTCATACCCCAGAGCCAAAAGTGTAAGCAGTCTGGACAGGCACAGAGGTAAGGCTTCTAGTCACAGCCATGCTGAGGAAAGGGAAAGCTTTATTCACAGCTGTAGACTCCAAAGTCTGAAAAGCCAGCTCTGAAGAAGGCATGACTGATAGTGGGGACACTACCCCAAGGCCCTGAGTAGGCACCCAAGCACTTGGACCCCTGAGGCTGTGTGTCACCGAGCTGACCTCCCTAACCTAGGACTTTGCACTTGGCCACACGTTCATGACTAATCTTGATCCATGTGTGTCCACAGACCGGAACTGGTCATCCCAGAGCCACCAGGGAATGAGTGTCAGCTGCATCCAGAAGCCTAATATTTGTTCAGCTTACTACTATTTGTCATAAAAGCAGCACTTCACCTTTATCAAAGGCAAACACTACCACACAGGCCTTTGGGCAGCACCTCAGCAGGCCTGCTGTGGCTGCATCAGACCACCCTGACAGTGGCATCCTGCCCAGTCAGGCCACCTGAGCACACCCACCACAGCAGGAGCTCTCTGCATCTGGCTTCTGTGCCTTGCTATCCTGCCAGTGAACTAGCAACCTGCGTAGGCCACCAGACATACATCTCTGTGACTCTGTATACTGTCGAGTTGCAGACCTGCTTGGGGGCCCTGCTGGAGTTGAACTAGATCAATGGGGCATAAACAGCAGTCTTGCACCTGGAAGAGAAGAGGTCCTGATCCACACCTTTCCATTCTGTCTGATTCCCCCTTAGATACCTCCATGGGCTTCTCAATTCCTGGGCCCAACTGCCCAGTCCCACAGTGCTATCAAGTCCCCCCTTCCCTCAAGAAGCTACGTAGAGGGATAGCTCTCTAGCACTAGTTATCACTGCTACTCTGTTTTCCCCCATCATCCTACCAAGCTCCATAGAGCTGGGGCTCAGAAAACTGGTGGGGGATGGGGGTCATGGTGCCTGGTAAACTTCCAGACCTTTCAAAAGGGGCTCCAATACCTAAATCCAGCCTGAATCTGCCTTTCCCTTGCCCCAACCAAAGTCCACTGGACATTGATCATGGCCTGCTTATCTGAGGCCCCTGAGCTTTTGGCTTACAGATCCCCATTTCCCAGAACCTGCCCCCACAGGGGTGGAGCAGCATACAGTTTATTAATTTGCTTCTCGTTTATTCTCAGATTTAGAGGCAGCCTGGCCAGACTCTGGAGCCAGAATGAAGATGCCAGACCATGTCCACACCTGCAGCAGCATCCTGATCTTGTCCGCACTGCTGTTACCGGTCCTCCAGACTGTCACTGCTCAGAAGGTATCGGATACCCATGGTGCCTGTGCGTGTGTGCCCAAATGGATGCAGTGTGAGCTGGGCAATGAGAGCATGTGTGTGGAAAGTGGGGAGAGCCTCTGAGTGTGCAAGCATTTAAGTAGGAGTGTGTGCGACCCCGTGCGTGTACGAAAAGAAACAGTGTTGGCCCACCATCAGGCACTACCTGAGGGCCTCACAGTTGATTCTGTATTAGAAGGACTACCCTGTTATTTCCATTTTGCAGATAAGAAAATACAGCTTAGCCAGCTGCCCCCTGAGGTTGGCTGCAGAGCAGGTGGCCAGCAATATAGCTTTATGAGCTAGCCCTTCTACTCCCATGCTTTCAGTTCCCTCATCTATAAAACAGAGTAATCACACAATCAGTACACAGGATTGTTGGGAAAATCTGCCTCATACTACTTATAAAATACCCATTAGAGCTGGACACATGCCTATAATTGCAAGTTCAACACCAGCCTGGGCAACTTAGAGACACTCTGTCTCAAAATTAAAAACAGCAACAACAACAATAACAAAACCAAAAGCCTGGGTAGCTGAGTGATGGAACTACCCCTGGATTCAGTCTTCAGCACCAGAAAAATAAAGAGTGCCTGGCACAAGGCAAGCCCTTTAGTGTGTAAACAAACTAGCTCGCACCTCTGCTGAACCATGTGTACATGTCCAGAAGAACGTGCTTGATGTGTACAGAAGCATGGTGCCCACAGGTGGGTAAAAAGTGTGTAAGGCTCTGCATGTGTGCCCATGTGTTCTGTCTTGGGGCACCTCAGGTGTTGGGACAAAGGTCATGTGTTGTGGGGGATCCTGAAGAGAGGTGGGTTGAATGGAGGGTCCACTGCTGGGAACATAGGGACAAAAAAGATTCCCAGCACTCACATGTTGGACCCTTTTCTACCTCCATGCTCCCACTTCTGGTTAGAGATTGGCAGGAGCTGTTTTGCCCCGTTTTCATGGAGTCACCAAAATAAAAGGACTTCCTTACTGTCCTTTTGCTGAGCAAAGCTCAGCTAGACATGCAGCTCCTGGTTGCACCAGGGTCCTCATCTCTACACAAAGGAGAAGCACAATCTCCTCCTAAACTCTGGGTTTCAGCAAACCCCCTAGGTGCTTGCTGTTCCCATGGGGCACTATAGGTCCCCAAAGAACAAGACAAATGTGGCCCCTGCTCCTTGATGCTGTAGGGTAGAGAATGAATATACCCTGCCTCTTATTTCAGATGGGTGTTCAGATTGAAATCTACCCTGGATTCACCCTGAGGTCTGCTCAGCAACTCAGATTGGGGGCATGGATTGGTCTGGGTTAGGCTCTTTTTTTATTCACATTTTTTTCCTGTAGTACATACTAGTTGTACAGATTAATGGGCTTCATTTTGGCACATTCACACATGCACGTATTTTGATCATTTTCATTCCCCTGCCCCCTCGAAGAGTATTGCCCAGCTAGTGTGGCACTGGAACACTGACTCCCTTCCCCTTCACTGGTCCAGAATGGCATCGACATCTATAGCCTCACTGTGGACTCCAAGGTCTCCTCCCGATTTGCCCATACGGTCATCACCAGCCGGGTGGTCAACAAAGCTGATGCTGTGCAGGAGGCCACCTTCCAGATGGAGCTACCCAAGAAAGCCTTCATCACCAACTTCTCCATGTAGGTGCCTACCTCCTTTCCTCCCCACCCACAACCCAGCACTGCGCCTCCATCTCCTCTGGGCCCTAAGCCCCTCTTCTAGAAGCAAAAAGCATATTTCATCTACAGGCTTCAGAGGAAGAGGCTTCAGTAGGGAGCTCCCTATTTTCAGAGGTGATCTGGCCCTCCTGCCCCCAGCCTTCATCTGTAAGTGCTGCCCAGATGGCAGGCAGGGGACCGCAGCACATTTGTCTTTGCCTTTGAAGAGTGCACGCTTGTAGTGGCCTGAGGCCAGACCCAGGTGGAAAGGAGTGATCAAAGCAGATTCCAGCTCAGAATGAGGAGAATTTCCTAGCCTTTGAACTGTCCTACAAGAAGAGTAGCTGTGAGGAGAGATCATCTTTGTGACTGCAGAGAGCTTGTCTGCTCTGCCAAGCCTGGGCTTTCTATGGACTCTGAGCTGCCCTTCCCCACCCAGTTTTGCAATGTTTACAAAGCTCAGCAGAACACTTTGTCTGTCCCTGGCCTCCTGAGGAGGTTGTCATTGAGGACAGGAGAGAGGCTGCTCCCAGAGTTAGGGAAGGTACTAGATGAAAAAGAGAGAGAAGGCATGTTCTAGATCCCCCCTCTATGGCAGTTTTACTTTTTTCATAGCCTGGCCCAGTACTGCCCAGCTTGCAGCAAGAGCTTTTCAGGCTGTGCCATTCTCTGACCAGAAGCCAAACCACCTTACCAACTGAGAGCCCAAGACTGGCACCACGTCTCTCTGGCCCCAGATCTCACTGCTGTGTGAGATAGGGAAGCATGATACAGAGTTTCCCACTCCCTAGTCCAACCACACACCCCAGCAGCACATCTGAAGATACTGAGAACTGCCCCCATCAAGAGAGCTGGGCTGCCCCTCCCAGCACCATTCCGGCCCAGGATTAGAGTATAACCAGGGAGTGGGAGGTGGGATGGCAGCTGTGTGCAGCTGCTTGCCCTCTCACCCTCTGCACTCCCCTTTCACACCAGCCCCCCATGGAGCTTGTGAGTAGGTGTTTACTGACATGTAAAGGAGCAGCCCTTTCCCTTCCAGAGAAATTGCCCCCCACACACACACTGATTTTCCAACCCCAAAGATGGCTGATGAAGAGAAGGTTCACACTCCCAGGAATCCCATCCAGCAGTTGGCTAAACTACTTCCAGAGAGGCTAAGCTCCTTGCAGAGTCCGTGAGCCGGCAGATGGAGGCAACTGCAAAGAAGAGGTCCAAGGCTTCTGCTCTGTGTCTCCCTCCTGCTCAAGCTGGGCCGCATAGTGCCAAGTGAGAAAAGTTCTTGCTGGTGACTGTTCCTCCAGAACAGTCTGTGAGTCTGGAAGGGCGAATTAGAATGTAACCAGGAGAAAGGAGGCTGAATTTAGCCCAGCCCTTTCCTTCCCTGACCATTCTGTGGAATGCCTATTGCTAACACTACACACACTACAGGATGGGTAAGAGCCTCACCCAGGCCTGGGATCTTGGACACAGTAGATACACAATAACATCAGTGGCACAGGCAAAATAGAGTCACTGTGTCAGGAGACACACCGATTACTGGAGAGATCCCTCCCACCAGCCTCTCGGCAGCTCCCACCTCTGTGCCCCCAGGATCATCGACGGTGTGACCTATCCGGGGAATATCAAGGAGAAGGCTATGGCCCAGGAGCAGTACAGCACAGCTGTGCGCAGAGGGGAGAGTGCTGGCCTCATCAAGTGAGCCCTTGGAGGTTCCTCAGGAGGGAGAGGGAAACTGCCCCTTCGTTGGCCCCTAACAGGGCAGACCCGATACACTTCTTCCCCAGGGCCACTGGGAGAAAGATGGAGGAGTTCCAAGTGTCGGTCAGTGTGGCTCCTGCTGCCAAGATTACTTTTGAGCTGGTGTATGAGGAGCTACTCAGGCGGCATCTGGGGGTATATGAGCTGCTACTCAAAGTACGGCCCCAGCAGCTGGTCAAGCACCTGCAGGTACCCAGCACTGCTTCTCTTTAGTGCCCCACCCTCTGAGGCCCAACCCAGGCTCCTAACTGGCCTGACGACCGGATCTTTCCTTCCAGATGGACATTCACATCTTTGAGCCTCAGGGCATCAGCTTCCTGGAGACAGAGAGCACTTTCATGACCAACGAGCTAGCCAGTGCCCTCACCACCACGCAGAATAAGAACAAGGTGGGCCTGCCATGACCAGCAGGTGGAGCTCCCAGGGACCTGTCTTTAGTCTATTCCTGTGAGCTGGATCCCAGAGTGTGGGGCAGTTGGGCAGACTCTCTGAGCTGGAGGAGCTTTGGAGATCTCTGTCTGGGCAAACACGGAGGGCAAAGCCTAGAGAAGAACGGCGTTCTGTTTCCTTGTGGGGACCCTGTGACTTGTTGGGGAGAGATGTGAAGAGTAGACTGGTGGAGTGGAGGAAATAGAATCACGTATGTCCCGGGCCCAGCCTCCATGCATGGCTCCAGAAATTGGACTTCCTATAACACCTAGTCCTTACATGGAAGCAGTCTAGCAGCAGCTCATTCTGAGAGAAAGTCCCTGGAATACTGACTTGAAGATGCATCCCGGAATTCTGACTTCCTATTATGCAAATGGAGATGGAAGATGTTAGTTTGGCCTCGCTGTTCTTCCTTGGCTTCAACCTGGTTTATTCCTCCAGGCTCACATCCAGTTCAAGCCCACACTCTCCCAGCAGCAAAAGACTGCAGGTCAGCAAGATACAGTCCTGGATGGCAACTTCATTGTCCGCTATGATGTGAACCGGACCGCCTCTGGGAGCTCCATTCAGGTGGGTGGGTCCAGCCAAAAGCAAGGGAACCTAGAAATCTGTCCACTCACAAAGACCTGAGCTTGAGTATTCTAGGAGAGAAAAATCATGAACCCTACTTACAGTGTGCACTACATATTGACACAGAAAGAAAATAGGCAGTTTATTTGTATTGTCCCTAAAACTTGCTGGAGGCAGAAAAGGTTTGTCTCTTTGAAGAGCTCTTCTGTGGGGTCCCTCTTTACCTTTGCTGCCAGAAGACATACCTCAGTTTTATGCTCAATTATAGTAGCAAGAGAGGGACTGAGCCTTGAGAGATGGCATGAATTTGGGGAACTGAGAGGTTGGGACAGAGAAGTGGGCATAGAATAGATGAACATAAAAACCCAAGGATTTACCGTAAGAAGCCTGAACAAGGTTAGGGTAGGGCTGCAGTTCTGATCCTGTGGGTGTGGTCTTACTCTGGCCTCAGATTGAGAATGGCTACTTTGTGCACTACTTCGCCCCAGAAGGTCTGCCCACAATGCCCAAGAATGTGGTCTTTGTCATTGACAAGAGTGGTTCAATGAGCGGCAGGAAGATACAGCAGGTATGCCCTGAAAACTCCCAGTCTTCTCCACCATCAGCTCTGGTCCAGTGGGGGGCCCCTCCCTGCTCTGTCTTCCTGGGTGGGAGGCTTCCAGGAGTCGAGGTTGGCCTAGGCATGGGGCAGCCTCTGTCCCCAGAGCATGCTCCATGTTCCATGTCCAACCTAAGGACCATGATCCCTCTGAGTCACCCACCTTATCTCCTCTTGTTTCTTTCTTGATCAGACCCGGGAAGCCCTCATCAAGATCCTAAGTGACCTCAACCCCAGGGATCTGTTCAACATCATTGTCTTCAGTGAGGAAGCAACCCAGTGGAAGCCAGCATTGGTGCCAGCATCAGAGGAGAATGTGAGCATGGCCAAGAGCTATGCTGCCACCATCTATGCCTCTGGAGGTGAGTGGCTCACACCCCAGCAGGCTGAAGGCTTCCAAGGAGCTGGGCTGGGAGCCACTCTAAGTGTGTGCCCTTTAGGAACCAACATCAATGATGCGATGCTGATGGCTGTGCAGCTGCTGGAAAGCAGCAACCGAGCTGAGCTGCTGTCTGCCGGGAGCGTCTCCCTCATCATCCTGCTCACTGATGGCGACCCCACTGTGGGTGAGGGCACTGCCCAGCCACTCCATGTCACACTGCACAGGGGAAGCAGCTGCACCCAGGCTTGCTGGGGGGCTTGGGCAAAGGGAATATCACTTAGACTCTTCTGGCTCTGAAATATCCAGAAATATCCATTGAGCTCTTTTTTTGATCTCTTCCTAAATCCACTGGTCCAGGGGAGACCAATCCCAAAAAGATCCAGAAGAACGTGCAGGAAGCCATAGGCAACCAGTACAGCCTCTTCTGCCTCGGCTTTGGCTTTGATGTCAGCTATGCCTTCCTGGAGAAGCTGGCACTGGACAATGGTGGGCTAGCTCGACGCATCTATGAAGACTCAGACTCTGCCTTGCAACTTCAGGTGCCAGTGTCCCCCACTGGACTGCATAGGGCCAGGCAGACCCAGCCTGCCTTTGTGACACCCCCTACATGCACCCTGCAGGACTTCTACCAGGAGGTGGCCAATCCACTGCTGACAAACGTGGCCTTCCAGTACCCAAGCAACGCTGTGGAAGAGGTCACACAAGACAATTTCCGACTCCTCTTCAAGGGCTCAGAGATGGTAGTAGCTGGAAAGCTCCGGGACCAGCGCTCTGATGTGTTCTCAGCCAAAGTCAGTGGACAGATGGTAGGTTGGCCAAGTCGGCTGGGAGGGAAGAGCAGGGAGGAGCTTCGCCTCTGCAGCCAGAGGGACTGAGCATATCCTTGCCTTACCAAGCTCTAGCTAATCGGCCTTGAGTGAGTCTCAAAGTCTCGAGTAAGCCTCACGTATCCCCTCTGTCACCCAACTTGTGGATGACACCAGGCTCTGTGAGACGCCCTGGTGCTTCTCATAGTAACATCTGTGCTGTGCCTGATGCATGAAAGCACTCAGCATTCAGTCTTTGCTGCTGCCACCTCACCATTCCTGTGAGCGTGAAGTGACCACAGGCTCCTTCCTGTCTTCTCACAGCCCTCTGAAGTGGCAGCTGACTGCCCATTTCACAGATGAGCAACCGCGCTCACCAGGCAGGGCAGGCAACTTGCCCAAAGCAGCACTGTGGCTGGGCCCAGCTCACCAAGTCTGCTTGCTCAGCCTTCTCTGCCTGTGCCACAAGAGGCTCAGCCTGGAATTCCTTCTCCCAGGACGTCCCTATCATTTTGCAAAGAGAAACAGAGCCCCTGCTCCATGTCACATCCTTCTTTACGCCTTGGGGATGCAGGAGTGAGCATAGCCAATTCCTCCCTGCCCTCTGGTGATTACACACACAGATTATACACATAGAGCTACAGACTAGAAGGCACCTGACAGAACAAACCCAGGGACTCACAAAGCAGTGCCAGGAGTGCCAGCCTGGGAGACTCAGGGAGGGTATCCTGGAGTAGTCTGAGACTGAGGGATGAGTAGGAGGTGGGCAGAGCTCAGATGGTATGGAGGGATGTGCCAGGCGTATATGGCAGGAGGGCAGCATGTCTGGAGAGCAAAGTAGTAGTGTAGGTGGGAGAGGGGGACCTTAGCTCAAAAATAGCCCGTTATTGGGCCCTTTGCTGCAGACAGTGTAGCCGTTCTGTCTGATTTCAGACCCAACTTTGCTGCTTCCCAGAGGTGAGAAATGAGGAAGTCACTCAGTTTCTCTGTGTGTAAAAATGAGAGTAAGTCCCATGCCCACTTTCTGAAGTTTACTGTATAACCCATGTCTAGCCCAGAAGAATAAACACTCCATGCATGTTAGCATCTGACATCACCCTGGAGCTCAGGAGTCCCCAAGTACAGAACTCAAGCCAGGCATGGTAGCAGAAGCCTGCAATCCCAGCACTTAGGAGGCTGAGACAGAAGAATCACCATGAATTCAAGGCCTGCCTGGGATACATAGTGATTTCAAGGCCAGCCTGAACTAAATAGCAAGACCCTATCTTAAGACAACAACAATAACAAAATTATTGCCTGAGATAAAGCCAAGTAAAAGTGTTAATCTATTTAAAGTTCAGTTAAGAAAAGACCTCAGGCAGTGGCAGGAGGATCACAAGTTTGCACCCAACCTAGGCAACCAGGGGATCTGAGTGAGGCCCTTTGTCAAACTAAAGAAATGACCAGAGGTGTAGCTCATTGCGGAAGCCCTTGATTTAAACCCCGGTACTGAAAAAGAGTGAGGGTCAAATAAATTGCTGTGCGTGTGGATAGGGCAAAATCCACGGACATGGCCAGGATTTGCCAAAGCACCGGGAGGTCAGGCCCTGGCCAAGAGCGAGAAGAGGCTGATGCCAGCAGGGTGGGCAGGAGACGATCTGCCTGGTAAGGGGCTCTTGTCTGCTGTGAGTGGCTCTGCTGAAAGAAGCCTGGGGTCCCGCAGCCCTCTGTTTCTAACTGCTGTCAAGGCCCCTACCTTGGGAAGAAAGTAGTCAGTCTCCACAGAGCTTGGCCATGTGCTGCCCTGTCATCATCCCACAGTGGCCAGCCATAGCAGAGGGTTGGCTTGGGCATGGGACAGCTCATTAGGATGAGTGGACCCCCAGATCTGGGGCTGAGGACAAGTGAGTTCTATTCTCTGTCACTGAGGCCTTCCCCTTCTTGTCATTTTTCCTCCTCTTTGGAGTAAGTGTGGGTTATATCTGGGGACCCTTTCTGCTTCACACTGCATTTACAAATCCTTCTTGCTGCTGTTTCTAATGTAGCCCTCGGTATGTTCCAGGCCTCATTGCCCTTTCCCCCAGAGGGTCAGCTCTTGGCTTTGTACTGCCAACCTGCACCTGGGACACATGGCAACCTTTTATCTCCCCTTCCTGTCAGGTTGGAGGCTTTGCAACTTGAGCTCTTTGCACCCCTAAATTCCTTCCCTATTCCAGAGGAAAAATGCAACCCTCATGGTCAGTGCCCTAGATCTGCTCCAGCACTGCTTGGGTCCTCTTTCTAGGATATGCAGAACGTCACCTTCGAGACAGAGTCCAGCACTGCTGAGCAGGAGAAGTTGTTCCAGAGTCCTAAGTACATCTTCCACAACTTCATGGAGAGGCTCTGGGCATACCTGACCATCCAACAGCTGCTGGAGAATTCGTGAGTGGCCCTGACCTTGCAGACCACTGGGGCAGGCTGCGCACAATGTCAGCACTCCTCAGCTTTTTCCTCAGGGCAGACACAGCTGCAGAGAGGTGTATCATGTCTGAGCTCCACATTCTCCCATGGGGATTTCCAAGGAGGGGCCCAGGGGGGACCAAAAGTGGTCCAGGTTCCAAGGACCTCCTGGGCTCTGACATCCTCAACCTCAACAGTGTTTCAGCATCAGATGCCGAATCTAAGGCCCTCAAGTCCCGAGCTCTGAACTTATCTCTCAACTACAACTTTGTCACTCCCCTCACATCTATGGTGGTCACCAAACCTGAAGGCCAGGAGCAGTCTCAAGTGGCTAACAAGCCTGTGGAGGACGGTAAGTGTGAAGCTAGGCTCTCCACCTCCTAGGCAGCCCTTCTTCCCGCCTCCCCTGCACCCCAACCAAGACCCTGCCTGCCGTCCACATACTCCCAAGAGTCTGGGAGGACTCTGATGGGGAAATTGAGGACAGGCTCAGTCTCTGTCTCTGTATTTCTGGAGTTGGGAAGCAAGTTGGAACATAAGCACTTCATCTTGATCAAAACTACCCTGACAGTGCCCTCTTTCTCCTCTCCCTCTCTCCCTGTGTTGTGTTTGTGTACTTTATACAGATAATAGACACACGAATGTCCCCAGAGGAGGTAAGAACCCAATACGATCAAAGGCTGGCCCCATCTTGGGGGCAGGAGGTGGTGTTATCTGACCAAGCACACTGGTGAATTTAATCACCTGTTCATTTAAATACTGGCTGCCCCCCAGGCCGTGTCCTGGGCACTAGGGATGCTAGGGCCCAAGAAAGATAAGTCCTAAGAGTAAACCCAAATCTCAATGACTTTCATTCAGGTCATGTTTCAAGATTGCATATGGCAAGAGGACGGCCCAGAAACCCAGGTGACAAATGAGGAGGGAGTAGAGGTGGGGGAGGACAGAATCATAACCCCAGCCATAGGCTCAGAGCCTGGCTAATGATGGAAGCAGTTACACACTGGGCTAGGTAGTTGGAGGGGTGACCAGTGGGGAGATGAGATCTTCAGCTGTGTGGGGAGGAGTCCAGTCTGAGATCCTCCCAGGCTGAGATGGGGGGTGGAGCTACACAGAATAGCTAAATATTGGAAGGGAGAGCCCACATCCATTCTTGGCATGGGGTCCCTGAACCCTGTTTCTGGGGACCCATGACACTGCCTGAGAAAAGATCACAAGTACTCATTTTTGCAAACTAGGTACTTCTAACTTCCCTACAAGTTTTGGAGCTGGAGCTCTTGGTGCTGCTGGGAGATTCAAACACGCTAGACCTCTTGATGTTCTACCTGAAATAGCTGTGCCTCCTCTTCATGATCCCCATCCACCTGTTTCTGGCTCCTTACTGCTTCAGAACTGGAACAGGATGACAGGCATAGACCTCAGTAAGCTACTTTCTGACCCCCAGAGGGCCACAGTTTCTCTGCAATGGCCACTGAACCTGCTCTGTAGAGGGGGGTGAGAGAGAGCACAGCCAAAAACAGGAAGATGATGTTCAGTGAGCATGGGCTGGATCCTTTCTAGAAGGAGAGAAAGAGCAGAAGGGAGAGGAGGGGAGTCAGCCTTTTCTGAGGCACCGCCCTTGACCGCACACCTCTCAACCAGCCACCCCTTACCCCTTCCTCATCATTTTATCTTCCTGAGTGTGAGTGATGGCTTTCTGCCTTCCCTAAGGTGGTCAGACTCCAAACCTGGACTGCAGCTTCCCTCACACTAATTGGTCGGGGAGAACCCTGGGACCAAAGAGGGCAATGGCTGACCACAGGGCTCGTGGTTGGGCTCTTTGAACGTCACTGCCCTCCTGAGGCACCTTCACCTCCACCCCCTTCCCCCGGCTCAGGGACATCAGACTTCCCTCCCAAGACAAGACAGTTCCTCTGGGTGTGATTCACCATTCGTGCTAGAGCCTTCTAGAGAGAAGGGTTCCCCCACACCCAGGGCCAGCAGGAAGCCCTCGCACTTTCTGTTCCTGAAGTCTGGAACAGAACGCAGACGCAGCTGCAGAGCAGACTTGGACCTATCTCCTCCACATCTCCCCTGCTGGCCCTTCTTCCGGGACACAAATGTGCCAGAGCTTGGTGGACACAGGGCAGGGATGCCCACAGGTTGTGCAGATTGTTCTGAGTCCTGATGCTACCTCCCTTTCTGTTTCTGAATGTTCCTGCAGTTGCATCCGCTTCAAGGCCAATGATTCTCCCAGATCTCATTCAAGGTGTGTTGCATTGTCCCAAAGTAAAAAACAAAGGTACACCGAGGCCAGAGCCTCTGGAGCAGTGTCTCCTTCCAATTGGGGCCCTTCGGGTCTCTGTGAACCTGCCGTGTGGGTGTGTGGAGAGGGAGCCCAGCCACACCTGTACATTGCTTACCCTTGGTGCTCCAACTCTCCAGGAAAGGGCTTCCTGAACCTAGACTTCTTTCTTTTTCTTATTTTAGAAGCAACTATAGTAGCTCCAACTCCAGGTAAGTTTCCAGCCTTCCCAATTCCCCTCCCCATCCTTGCCCCCTAGATTTCTTCATCTGCTCTAGGAACTGTGTGTGGCTGTCCCAGCTTCTGTCCAGCCTCCCACTGTCATCCTGCTGCTGCCGGAGCCCAGTGTGGACCGACTTTGTGTGGACATCAGACACACGCAGGGTCCCATGGACCTGCTTTTGGACCCTGGCCAAGGTGAGAGGTTACACACCCAGCCAGTCACCCAGAGAGAGCCCATTACTGCTCATACCCCCTTACCATTTGCCCACAGAGACACACACAGTATGTACACATGCCCTGCACCCCAGCATAGATTCCCACAACAGCCATCCATCCATAGGCCTTCACCAGACATCCTGTGCAGATCTGGGTGACTGGGTTCACTGTGGTCTGTGCCGAGGGGCCAGAGCTCCCTGAGGATCAAGTTGCACTCTAGGTCACCCAAGAGTGGCTGGGCCAGACAAGTAGAGAAGAAGTTAATGCTCTTTCAGATAGAGAAAACAGAATTTGCAGAGCACAGAACCCTATCTCTCCATGGGGGCCAGTGGTATGCTGGCCTGACCCCACCCCATAACCCTGGAGGGGCCTCATTGGTCAAGCTGAGGTGGCAAAGCAGACGTGGGGACACACAGCACGTGGGAGTACACAAACAGAGCCAGAAGAGCTAAAGGACATCCATCCCTTGGTCCTCCCAGGATCATCACATGGTCTCCTATGACAGCACTCAGGCCCAAGTGGCTATGTGCTCCCTGCCTTCAGGGATTTCCCATCTTACCTTTGACGAGGCAGCTAACTCTGGCCCAGCCACACTGCAGGGGCTTGATGAAGGTTATAGACTTGAGACAAGACATCCCTCCTCAGAAGTCCCACTGTCAATGGCCTTCATCAAGGAACCAGGGGTCCTTCCAAAGTCATGCAAAGCCAAGGAAGAAGTGGGGGGAATATGGAGCCGGGCCACAGTGTGGAGTGTTGCTGAGGAAGTAGGGGGCTCTCCAAGGACACTAATTGGTGAAGAACACTTCTAGGAAGAGAACTCCCTGCTCAGGGCAGTGCATTGCCCTGGCTTTGACCTGGTTTGTTTTTTTCAGGGCTTGAGGTGACTGGCGAGTACAAGGCAGAGAAGGCGGGGTTCTGGTGGATCAAGGTGACCTTTAAGAACCCCGAGCTGCAGGTTCATGTATCCCCTGAACGCATAGTGGTGACCCGGAACCGAAGAAACTCTGCATACAACTGGAAGGAGACACTGTTCTCAGTATTGCCTGGGTATGTCCCGAGCTGGGGTATAAAAGCAGATGAGCTCTTTGCCACGCTGGCTAGTGATGACACTGACCAGCAGACAAGAACACAGACCTAGGGATGAAGCAGAGACTCAGGGGCTCTGCACCAAAGCCCTTTGACTCTGGAAGCACCACTAAGTTATCCTGGAGACCTGGTTCTTCTGACAACTCACTGATGTTAGTGTCCCATACATGAAACTGTCATTTGGAGCTAGTTCTGCAGCTAATCTTGTGTGAGCCTCTGCTGACCACTTAGCTCCTCTGAGCTCCACTTTCTCCACTGATACCTAACCCTGAGTCAGAGGGGTCAGAGGACCCAAAGGAAGAGGCTCTCAGGGAGCATTTGCCATCAGATGATACATTGTGCCTCCTACACAGCTGTGGGGCACAGGAGGTCTTGATGGCAGTCATGAGAACTGGCAAGCTCTGGCCCCGGGAGTATTACCTTTAGCACAACCCTTGAGACTCTGGTGATGTTTGAGACCTGTTGAGGGTCATTCTGGGAAGCTGGTGGGTAATGGTGGTAGGTGACTTCCAAGAGGCACGGCTGCCTTTCCATAGACTTTCCAGGGCCAGTCCTCTAGCTCTGGAAGTTATAAGAGGCCAGAGACCCTGGCCTTCTGTCGACCACACTCATTGTGCCTCCAGCCTGTGCATGGCTCATCTTTTCCCAGGGTGGAGGGCTTTGTTCACTGCTACCTCATGAACCACGAGGCTGGGCCTCGTCTCCACTTGACAAATGACCACATCCAGCCGGCCCAAGGAGTTTATCTGAAAACCTCCCCAACTTCATAAAAGACTTTATAATCTCCTGTTATCTAATAGTTGCACAAACATCAGTAGTATTTCTGTACCTTAGAAATACATACCAGAAAATGAAACATTTCTATTCATTGTAATAATGGAAAATCCATTTGTTTTCATGAGCTGTGGAAGATCCTCATAAAGAAATATGAAGTTGATGGTGGTATATACCTCTAATTCAAGTCCAGCCTGGGCAACTTAGCAATTTAGTGAGACCCTGTCTCATGTTTAAAAAAAAGAAGAAGTAGTAAAAAGGATTAGAGATGTAGCTCAGTGCAAAGGTCCTGGGTTCAATTCCCAGTACTGGGAAAAAAGGAAGGAAAAAAAAAGAAAAAGAAAAAATAGACCAATGGATATGCATAATCCCAGCACTCTGGAGGTTGAGGCAGGAAGTTCATATGTTCAAGATTAGTTTGAGCAACTTAGTGATTTAGTAAGATCTGGTCTCAAAATAAAAAATAAGTAAATAAAAATTTAAAAGGACTGGGGATGTAACTCAGTGTAAAAGCCCTGGGTTTAGTTCCCAGGACTACAGAATAAAAAAGAAAAGGAGGGAGAGAGGAAGGAAGGAAAGGGGAATAAGGCCAGCGGGCAAGCAACCAAGCAAAAGAAAGCAGGCTAAACTATAGGCGAGCCCATTTAAAGCCTCAGCATTGCATTCATATTGTCAGAATAACAGCAGAATCATAGTCTGCAGGTTTAAAGCAGCCTAACATTCCAAAAGGTAGCAATTTCCAAGGAGGTAAGTAAAAAGGAGGGAGTGGACTCAAAAGACACCGAGCACACACAAGGCACAGTCAAACCCTAATCACCTGCAAGTGGCACCAGCTATACAAGAGGAAAGGATAGAGAGCTGTATCAGAGAAATGCCCTAAATCATATAAAACTAACTCGTAAGAAAAATCAAATTTAAGAAAACCAGTGGTTAAAGAAACCACTGTTTTGTTTTGTTTTATAAATAATGCTAAGGAAATTGGATATCATGAAGCCAGGGTTGGCTCTTTTTTATCAGCAACAGGAAACAGAAACCCTGAAGACACAGGGACTCTACACCCAAGGCACTGTCATGCCCCGTGCTGCCATCCAGGTGTCTCTGCCTTCTTGCTCAGACCACTGGGTTTTTCCACAGCCTGAAGATGACCATGAACCAGACAGGACTCCTGCTGCTCAGTGGCCCAGACAAAGTAACCATTGGCCTGTCGTCTCAGAATAGTCCTGCAAAGGGGCTCCTGCTCTTTCTGCGTGACACTGACCGCTTCTCCAGCCACGTCAGAGGGACCCTCGGTACTCAGCCCATGGCCTTGCATCCTCAGAGACCAGCTCTGCTGAAGAGCAGGCAGTATCTGCCCCTCTGTGTGTCTCCCAGGCTCCCCTGTCTTTAACCTTCACTGATCCACCCTTTGTGTCTCAGGTCAGTTTTACCAAGATGTGCTCTGGGAGCCACCAGCAGCTACAGATGACACCAGACGCAAGCTGAAGGTTCAAGGGAAGGAGTACTCTGCCACCAGGTGACTTGGCACCTACAGCCACTGAGCATGGCCAGGGCAGGATGGGGACAGGGAGCTGGAGCCAGGTCGTGCAGAACCCCACTCCTTCTGTCCTTGCTCAGCAGTTAGAACCAGGTGAAAGAAAGATGGGTAACAGACACATGTCTGAAAGCTCTCCGTGACCTTCCAAAGGACGATTAGCTCAGCCCCACAGAAAACACAGCCCCAGGATCACTAGAAAACTCTCATTGTCCTTGTCCCGAACTCTTAGAACCCCAGACCCTAGGATGGATAATCAGGCATTCTTGATCTGTACTATGGAGACCAGTTACTCCCCACTTTATGTGTTCCTGTTCCCACCTATCCCCCTCTTTCCTCCACACCTGAGACTTGCTGACCATCTGTTTATCCTTCTGTCTATCCCAGAGAGCTCAAGTTGGATCACCAAGAAGGGACAGAGATTTCCTGCTGGAAGGTGGAGCTGTAGTTCAGATAAAAGGAGTCCATGCCCTCCCCCTGCTGCCCTGTTGTGTGCAGGTGGCTGCAGGGATCCCCTGTGGGGCCTGAATCACAATGGAAAAGGGGATTCCCACTTGTTACAAATAAAAATGGTGTGAGCCAAAGAAGGAGGTGACTCTGGCTTCACATCAAATCACAAGGCCTCCGAATCCATCTTGAACACAGCCCGTGGAACGTTAGACTCTCTCACCGTGAGCCCTCGAGGGCCTGTAGCCAGTCAGGCCTGGAGACTCTCAGCCCTGCCCCTCTGTTTTGCAAGCTGGGAAAGTAAAGCTAAGCCACTCATGTAGAATGTTCGTCTCCTGCTGGCGGGGTCCAGAGCTGGTGATCGTTCTTAGGGAGCAGAGTCCTGGCTGCTCAGGGGTCTCTGAAAAGTAGTTTTGATTCAAAAACAGTGAAGTGGAGTGGCTTGTCCTTTATAGGAGAACCCCCAGATTTTCACATTAACTTTTGGGGTGCTTTGCAATGGAATTTGCCAGGAATGGGCCTGTCTACTCCCTGCCAGGTAAAGGTGGCGCTGAAGACAAGAGACAGTGGCCACATCCCAGGCTCAGGAAGGAGCCGGGTCCGATTCCCAGAAACCTTTCATCCAGTGGGGTGTTCTGGGTCCCTGCTCCTGCTCATGTCCCATGGTTGGCCATCCCAAAGATTCTACCCACTTCCTACAGGCAAGACACACTTCAAAAATGTATTAGCCAGACTAATGTGTGGCCACACAGCAGTAGTGCACGTCTGTTATCCCAGCACTCTGGGAGGCTGGGATTTCAAGAGGATTTCAAGTTTGAGCCCAGACTGACCCTGTCTCAAAAATATAAAGGGTGATACAACAAACAAACAAACAAATGGTGATAGATCATCAGTACCACCAAAAAAACTTTTTTATTATTATAGTTGGTCCTTTGTATCTTTAGGTTCACATTTGTAGATTCAGTCAATCACAGAAGGAAAATTGTCAAAGAAATTGAATTCAAACATGAATGGATTTTTTTTTTCTTTTTGAGACAGTCTCCTCTGTGTAGCCCAGACTGGTCTCAAACTCATGATCCTCTCTACAAGTGCATGCTATTTACATTATATTAAGAATTATAAATAATCTAGAGATGATTTAAAATATACAGAAGAGCCAGATGTGGTGGCAAATGGCTGTAATCCCAGCTGCCCAGAAGAAGGATAGCAGGTTTTAAGGCCAGCCTAGACAACTTAGCATGATCCTGTCTCAAAATAAAAAGGAAAGACTTTGGTATGTAGCTCAGTGCGAGGCTCTGGGTTTTGTCCCTAGTGCCTTAAAAAAAAAAAAAAAATCCACAGTTGGGCGTATGACATATGCACCATTCTGTATAAAGGACTTGAGTGTTGGCATCCACAGGAGTCCTGCAACTAGTCTACTGTGGATATCAAGAGATGGCTGAGCTTCACCTGCTTCTAAAAAAAGAAAGGGAATAATCTGTGAGTTACAAAGAGATAGAATAAGGGGAATGAAACAAAAACTGAACCCATGAGACTAAAAACCGAGAGGGAAGCTAATAATCAGAGACCAAGATGATTGACTCAGCTTTCCTCTGAGCTTCCTGGCAGCCAAGGTAGAGTAGAAAATGAACTCACTTGCTGGCTAAGAGCAAACAGACTGAGCCATCAGAGAAGCATTTATTTTCCAGCTCTTGATCTAGGAAGGATGTTTGCTGAATGAGTCTGGAAGGTCAGCGGACAGGCCAGGGGAGGGGTCTCGAGCAGCAAATTTGCCTGACACAGAGAAACTCTTTTCTCTGTGTCAGGCCTGTGCCAGGCCCACGCTTGCCCATCTCCTTGGCGAGTGGGTGTCTTAGGCTGCAGCTCCCGGTGGAGGGTCTCCTGGTTAGAGGGCTCAGTACAGAGTCCTGTGACACAGGAGAGCAGCCTGGGCCATGGGGCATTTTCTGTGGGGCTAACAAGAGCCTTACACAGATACTGGAAGGGTGCCCAACTCAAGCTCACTCCCTGGCACATGGACATCCTGGCCAGGCCACAGACTGTGCAGAAGCAGAGGAGTCAGGGCTGGCGGTGGCCGTGCCAGCCCCTGCAGGCTGGGTACTGTGCCCTTCATTCCTTCATCTTCCAGGTGCTTTCCAGTGCTTACCTGGGCCATGACCTGGGCCAGGTCCTGTGCCTGCTGGGCCCAATGATGGACACAATGCCACTGTGACCGTCGTTACCCAGCAAGGCACAAGGTGCTGCCAGAGTCTGGGGAGACACCTTGCCAATCTGGGGGTATCAGGGAAGCTTCCCGGAGGTGGTAACATTGAGACTGAGTTTTGAAGGATGACAGGAAGTTAGCCCAGGATGAAACAGGGCAGTGATATCAGGAAGAACCACGTATGACGAGAGCCAGGCCACTGCACTGACTTCAGGGAAGGGGAAGGACAGGTGCGTGGGACAGGTGAAGGGGAGGGAGGGCCAGGCCAGCTGGGCTGTGTGTGCTTGCCTGGAGCGTGGCCTCTATCCTGAAAGCTGGCTGCAGGCAGGGACAGGCGGACGCAGGCCATGTGGGTCTGGAAGACAGTCAGCCTCCTCCTTGCCTGCGTGGAAGACCTCCCTGCCTGTGCCAGCAGCAGGATTTGGCTGGGAACCTTTCTGCCTTTTCTTCCAGCCCTTTTAGCTCAGCTGCTAGTGGGAGCAGCAGGGCAGGAAGGAGCACTTGAGGAAGATCTAAGACCACATGAAGTTTTCTTATCTCTTCATCTACTGCCTAGATGTGAACACTGACCTCATACTGACTGCCTGCCAGCACGTGGCTCCACAGCCCTCCAGGACTGAACAGGACAGCAGGGTCTTCCTGCTCTAGGGTCCCTTCATAGGCCCTTCTAGCCAACCCAGTCCAGACCTCTGCTACAGTCACCCAAGGTCGTGGAGAGGCCCCATGGTGGGAGTGGTATCCCACGTGCCCTCATCTAGAATAGTAATTGCCACCAGACCACCAGTAGTGCCCTCCATCTACCTAAAGGATCACCTTCTGTTCTCTCCAGTCCCCTCTCCAGACCCCAAGGCCAGTGTGGGACTTGGAAAGTGCTAGTTTTGGCTCCAGCTGTGGGGTGTGGAATGGGAGATGGGACAACTCTATGCCCCCCACACACATACATGTCACCACACACTGGCATTCAGGTTTCCCCGTTTGATTCTGTACTCTTACAGCAAATCCTCCACTGCTTCTAACCAGGGTCCTGTCTGCCTAGTACACCCTTAGGGCCTCAACAGAGAGCTTCAGGGGAAAAGGCTCCAGGGCAGGGTGGGTTATATTTGTGCCACTAGAAGCAGCCTGTGAGTCTGGAACTCAGAAAGTGGAGGGAAGTGGAGACACCAGAGGAAGGTTTGTCTTGGCCTCAAGAGCCATGGATAGGTCCTGCCATCTGTGGGGAGTCAAACAGGGAGTGGTGATCCGTTCTGCTCTGAAAAGTTCTTTGGGAGGCCATGAGGAGACACAAAGGCTCAGGATGGCCAAGGGAGAGAGAGCTGTCCAGGCTGGAGTTCTCTTAGAGCCCTTCTCCAGGGACCTCTCCCTGCCTCCCTACCCAACCCCAGACTCACTGGGAGGAAATCTAGTGATTCCCACGAGGTGACTGGAAGATTGCAGAAAGGCCTGGCCCAGCTGAGGGCAAACTTGGGCAGCCATGGAAACAAACTGGATTACTAAATTGTGTGCCCTGTGTCCTGACCCCAGCGTATTGTGTTCCTCTGCTGAATCAATGAGAGTGGACGGATTGATGCGTTGGTAAATGGCAGGGATGGATGGCTGAAGGAATGAGTGAGTGGGTGAATACACGGGTAGTGCTTCCGTTTGGGTCTTGAATGTCCCCCAAAGGTCCATGTATTGAAGTTTTGGTTGCCAGCCTGTGGCATTCCTGGGAGGCAATGGGACCTTTAGAGTGTAGAGCCTAGAGGATTGAATGGCATCCTCTACAGGGAGTTATCGAGGTATTGACCCCTTCCAAGGGCTTTTTGCTTTATAGACCATCGTAAAGTGAACAGACTACCACGTACTCCTGCCATCACCCATTGTAGCACTACAGGCCAAAGTGATGGAGCTAAGCACCATGGATTGAAACTCTGAGCCAAAATAAATCTCCCTCTTTATATTGATAATCTCAGGTATCTTGTACAGTGACAGAAAGCTAATAGGACAGGTCCTATTACAGATGGATGACATCTCCACTTAGCGGTGGGCTACGTTTTCCCTAGAGTACCTCCTTCTGCTGAAGGTCCTAAATGGAACTCCTGAGCCATGACCACTGACTCCTATGACATTCCTGGACCCAGAACTATACTCAACCTGACTTCTCAGAGCCCATTTGCTCCAGAGCCTGTTCTTGATTTTTCCTCCCACATCATCCTTTTGGTTCCTGCCCCCGAGTAGTACAAGCCCAACCAACTCTGTCTCCCATCTGTGTCAAATGAGCCCCAAGATGCTGCCTCCACCAGCTGTCCCTTCCTTGAGCTGCTTGGTTCAGTTGTCTGTTCTTAGAGCAGGGCCCCATGAAGGCATACAGAGGCTTAGAGCTAGCTCGTTCCCACATCAGACTTTATTGTCACCACTGCTTCCACAGCCTTGCTCTGCGCTTTGTGTCCTGGGTATACTGGACCCTCCATCTCAACAGAAGCTGGCAGGTTTACTCAAACAGATTGGAGACTATATAATCGGTGTGGACACCATCAATCAGCCCCTCTCCATTGTTGTGGACAAACCAGCAGTTGACCTTCTCCCCCATGCTGGTGTCTTTTCTGTAGTCTTTCTGGGAGCCCCTGGGGTAAAAAAAAGAGAGAGATGCTGGTAATGCACAGGGTGGGGAGGATATTTTTGTGTTAGTCATGGGCTTAAGGTTGAAAAACAAGTGTGGAATTGGAAATTGTAAGAATCTAGAAGTCTTTGGCCTAGAATAAGGTCACATGATTACTGTTTCCGGGATTCCAACTTTGAGGTTCTCCTTGATTAAGAGGGACCTAGAAAAGGTCAAGACCTCTAGGAGAAACAACAGAACAGAAACCAGAGCCCACTAGGCAAATGTGTCACTCCAGAGAGGGTGCCTTGCTCCTGTCTTATGGCTGGACAGGGTGAGCTAGGTGTCAAAGGTGTCCCCTCACCTTGTGACGGTCATTTGGTGGTTCTTCACCACCATTGTGGCATCTAGTTTTGTAGGGTCAGAGCCTGGGTGGATGTCAGACACTTCAAAGTCAAAGGGGTGGAAGAACTGACCTGGAAACAAAAGCATTCAGGCTCTTAGCCGCTGGCCATTGCCACAGGTAATGGGATTTCTGGCCTTTCAGAGTTGATGCAAAACTGGGGTATCGTGAACGGGGTACAGGGTGACGGGTAGCCTTTCCCATGCTTTTGTGCAGCCTGAGCAGCCTGATGTCTGAACATTCCTTACCCAGCAACCCGTGTGTCTGCGTGGACATCCGGTGACTATCTAGCACATAGAAGCCTAGAAAATCTTGGTGAACTGGATGTTTCTTCCACACCTGGTGCAGGACAACCACAAAGTTAACTCCGCGTCCAAAGGAAATCACCATGTTCTTCTTCCTATTGATTGTCACCGACAGCCTAAGAGAAAACAGTAGGTGGCTTTGAGGCCAGTGACACTGGCATCATCTCAGCGAGGCTTTTTTCAGTGCATAGCACCTGATGCACACAGACTCCAGGAGCTACCAGATGAGGGTAGAAAAGGCTGTGCCTTGTGCATGTCTAATAGCAAGAGAGGGCCATCCTGAGAATCCAGGCCCTAGCTCAGCCACTGTCAGTGTGGACTTGGGCATGTTGTGCCCCTCTGAGCCTCAGTGGGAACATCACTCCTTCCCTGTCCACCAGTCTCGGTAGGATCTGAAGACACAAGAAAGGCTAAGAAGTCTGAGAACTTGCAGCTTCTGCCAGAGAATATTAAATATTAACCTGGTGCTTTCTTTTCTTTTTCTTTCAATGTAGGGTCTTGCTATGTTGTCCAGGGCTGGCTGTGAACTCCTAAGCTCCAGCTATCCTCCTACCACATCTCCAGAGCCACTGGGACTTACAGGTGCATACCACTACGCCCAGATTGTCTCATCCAACGAGTTTTTCCCTCAAAGTCAGACCTATGAACTTTCCAGCTATCAATTCTGGCTCTGACCCAGGGGGTCCAGAGGTTAGTTGGGGACGCTGTGGTCATGCTCCATGGAGACTGAACTCTGAGTCTACTGATCTCTCTTGTGATCCCCTCAAGAGCTCAGGCTTTGTACCCCTTGAAGACACAGTTGGAGGACCTTACCCATCCTGCACAAGCGTGACTGTATCTAGCCAGCTCAAACTTGTTGGCACAGCCCCTTTCCACAGGGTGATCTTCTCTGTTGTCACCTCAATGCGGAAATCCATCTGAGTACTGGAAATGCCCAGTTTCCCAAAGAAAGTCTTTCTGGTGTTGGAGTCAAGGCTGTTTCTCTTGTCTCCGATGATCTGCCCATTAACAGTGAGACCTGCCAGAAGGAGGACCAGGAAGAGAGACCAGAGACCCACTGAGTACAAGCTTGCATTTAGGGATGTGCCTCTCCCTTCAGCCAAACCTGTGGAGGAATAGCAGAATGGGATCCACGGGGGAAGATGGGACCTCAGAGCCTAGTCCTGTTCATTCCAGACATTCAGGTCTGGTTTGTACAGGGACATTGTGAATCTGCTTCTTGCCTAGACCAGAGAGTGTAGTCCAGAGAAATGGGTCTTATCCCCAGGGCCAGGCTACCCAGTAACTCTAGAACTCTTTCTAAGGGCATTGGCCCAAGGCTGAGGCAGAAGGATCACAAGTTCGAGGCCAGCCGGGGCTACTTAGCAAGACTGTGTCTCAAAATAAAAAAAATAAATAAAAAGGGCTGAGGATGTAGCTCGATATGAAGACCCTGGGCTTCATCCCCACATGAAGACAGTCTGGCAGCCCCTGCCCCTCCCACCCTAGGAAGGTTCTGCATGTGAAGGTAGGTGTGTCAGTGGCACAATGAAGAGGACCTGGTTCCTGAGCCCGCCCAGGGCTTCCAGCCTCCCTTCTGGAAGAACCCAGGCCTGCAGCCCCCACCTGTGACCGGGTCTTGAATGAGACGCAGCACTGTGCCTGGGTCTTCATCAATATTGAAGCAGATGGCGTCATCCTTTTCGGAGACTCGGATGATGAAGTGGGGATCCCCATCCACTGAGGGCACATCAGAGAAGGGGTGACTCCTGGAGCCTCTCAATGTGCCGAGGGTCTCCCCTGGCTCCTTAAACCCTGGCCGGCAGGTGCTCCACTCCCAGGACCCTGAGCCATGTCTCAGGGGAACTCACCATAGTAGTAGGGGTTTTGAGGAGGCTGGTAGCTAACTGTGGAGCAAAGCAGGATAGGGCTGAGTTGAGCAGGCAGCTTGGAGAAGACCAGGACCCCTTGCTGGAGTTCAGCTTATGCTCCCTTCCTTCCTGCTCCCTAATGTTCTCATTCTTTCCTAGTCTCCACCACCCCCTAATCTCTTTTGGACACTTGGCCCATCTACCTACCTGAGAGCTGATAGAGGAAAGACCCCAGAGGGAGGTTAGACAGGGGCAGGGGTAGCCAGCAGGCCACAGATACTCACCTTGGTAGGCCATGGAGGGGACTGCAGACCTGGCTAAAAAGTCAAAAGGCACTTGTGAATGGGATGTAGGATGCAGGTTACTCTCATGCTGACTGTCCCTTCTTTGGCAGGGAAAGTCACTCACAATCAATTGATGGGAGCCCTGAAGCTCCGAGATGTGCAGAATCTGACTCTCCATCCCACAAGAGGTGCAGGAATAGAGCTAGATTTAACTGTAGGGTTGCTGAGTACCCTACCCACTCAGGCTAAGTGTCCTTGCTGGCTTGGAAATACCTTTTCAGTTATGTCCTCCTCCTCCCTTCCACAGTGTTCACCTGGCTTCTGGCTGCAGCTTACCTTCTGCATCTGTAGGCAGAGAGAGAGGAAGGAGATAAATGTATTAGAGGCCATATACTACTAGCCAGAGCCAGTGAACAGATGGTAGTGGCCCAAGAGTCCTGGGGCTTGCTGCCTGGCCTACAGCAAGCTGCACTGCAACAGGGTGTCCCCTGGAACCAGGAACTCATGGAAGCTAGGGCCTGGCCTTGCCTGGCCCAACTGTTTCCTCTCCAGCCTGCACCCATTTGCAATGAACATTTGGAAGCCCTAGAGTAAAGTCTGGGGTCTGGTTGAGTAGGTTTTGTCCTCTTTCTCACAGCCCTTGGGTGTCTAGTAGCCTGCTCTTTGGGTCAAAATTGTTGGTTGAAAGTGCTTCTTGTCTACTGAAACTTTGAATGCTCCAGCCTAAGTCCTGTCCTTGAAATGTCCCCTGGGCAGTGAGCCTGGAGAAGCTCAGAGACACCTCTCTGCCCCACACCCTGCTGTCTTTGGTGACTGCTTTCACCACACCGCCTTCCCTATCTCTTGGCCTGTTTTCTTTCTGAGGCCAGCGATCTGCCCCTCTGTGGAAGGTCTGGTCTTCCCAGACTGTCACCTGCTCTTCTGGGTACCCTGGGCCTGGGCTTCTAGAGAGAGTCTCCAGATTCTGCCCTTCTCTCTCTGTGCCCACCTTCCCCAGGTTTGTCAGCGATGTCTGTCTGATTCTCATCATCCTCTGGCTTGGTCACCACCATGGAAGTCAATGGAGTCACAAAGTGATACTTCAAGGATAGGTCCAGAGCCTGGGCTGTAAGTTTCTCTTTCTCTTCACCCTGGGCATTCTTGCTGTGGGGAGAATAAGTCTTGAGAACAGCCCCCTGCCTGCCTTCCCCTCCACTGGCCCCTAGAACAAGACCAGGCTGACAAGGTGCAACCAGGGACACCATCACGCCAGTGGAGCTAGGGATTACCCCAGTGGAGCTCAAAAAAGACTGGTTCACCAGCTCTCTGGAGCTGTTTCCTCTCTGGAATGGCTAGTACGACAATGACTTGCCCTTAAGCCAATGCCCAGCATGTGCCAGTTCCTGTGCGAGGGGCTTTATATCCTAGTAAGCCTAAATGCCACTACGGCACCCTCTGGGGTGGGCCCAATTTTGCCTTCTGGGTGCTGAGACCTCAGTCCCCAGCCCTCAGTTCTATCAGCCTCTCTGGCATTTCCTTGGCTGGGCCAAGCAGAGGACAGAAGGTAAGTGTGAGGGAGCTCTTCCCACTCAGCCTGCTCAGAGTGCAGGCAGCCACAGGGGAGGCCAAGGTCGGGGGAGAGGCCATGCAGGGTGCCCAGGTTGGGGCCCAGCTGCGTGAGGAGTGGTCCAGGGTCACCGTTTCTCCAGGAGCTGCTCAATGGTGAGGTAGGCCCAGAGCCGCTCAATGTAGTTCCCAAAAATATAGTCTTGTTCCTTCAGGGCCTTCTCCATGTCCTTCATATCCACCTTCTCTGTGTAGATCAGATCATTGAGAGCCTGGGGAAGAAGGAAGGAGCATGGGGGCTGGAACCTGAAGCCAGGTGGGCCAGGTTGAGGAGCAGCTGCTCCCAGACATCAACCAGGAAACCGAGGCCAAGAGTGCTAACCAGTACGTGCCCAGACACTGATCTCCACTCACCCCTTGGCCCTTCACATCTGCCGTAAAGCTGTTCATGTCCTCGTCCACCAGGCGCCCGGCTACCACAATCTCAGAGCCATCGTAGAAGTGCTGATAACTGTTCTGGGTGAGGTCCTGGATGGCATTGTCAGGGTACTCCACCTGCACCCCGGTCAGTAGTGGGTTGGCCACCTCTTCGTAGAAGCCCTGAGGCCCAGAGCAAAGGTCCAGTTATCTTGGGCTCCCCAGGGCAGATGTGAAGAGGCTGGGGTACATTAGTTTCTAATGCTGCTGTGGCTTGGCATCGGCCACCATGCTCCCTCATTTTCACTCCTAGATGGCCCTGACTATGCCTTTCAGTCTGTGGGAGCCCTCCTGGCCCCCAGTCTCTGCAAAAACCAGGAAGAACAGAACAGAACTCCCCACACAGGACCATAGCAAGAAATACTTGTTGGCCTGAAAGCAAGGAAAAAAGAAAATCAAGGGACGCTGCTAAGACAGAGAAGGTAGCAGACGGGAGAAGAAGACTTGAGGGTCCACCTGCCTGGGAGAGGTTGTCAGATTCAGCAAATAAAGATGGGACATTCTGTTAAATTTGAATGTTGGGGGAAAAAAATTTTTTTAAGTGTAAGTATGCTTGTTATGGGTTGAATTATGTACTGCATTCCCAAAGTTCTTATGTTGTTGTCGTCCTAACTCTCAGTTCCTCAGAATGTGACCTTATTTGGAGGTAGAGTCTTTACGAAGATGATCCATTGAGGTCATTTCAGTGGGCCCTAATCCAGTATGACTTGTATCTTTATAAAAAAGGGAAATTGAATCCAAGTGTGGCAGTATGCACCTATAATGCCAGCATGATGGGAGTCTGAGCCAGGAGATTTGCAAATTCAAGCCCAGCCTGGGCCAATTAGCAACTTAGTGAGACCCTGTCTGAAAAATCAAAAGGGGATTGCTGGGGATGTAGCTCAGTGCAAAGGTCCTGGCTTCGTCCCCAGTCCCACAAAGGGTGGGATTGGGGAGAAGAGTGGAGAAGATGACCACTGACAAGCCAGGGAGGAAGGTCTGGACCCAGTTTCTCCCTCAGCACCCTTGGAAGGGAACTAAGCTTTGGCACCTTGATCTTGGACTTGCAACCTCCAGAATCAGAGCTGATGTCTGTTGCTTAAGCTGAGTCTGTGGCAGTGCACTTTGTGTGGCAGCCCTAGTAAACTAATACAACATCGGATACAATGTTTGGAAATGTTTACATCAAAATTATTCATTGCAGCTTATATTTCACGGAATATCTTGCACTTGACCTGGCAGTCCCGCAGAGCAGGCAGATCTGTTCTTTGTTGCATGAGGACAGGATAGGAACCATTATTGATGGCTAGGAGGCAGAGGCTGTTGACTGTAGATTTCAACTCAAAAGGAAGCACCTTCTAATGCCTGAAACTGCCACCCAGTGGAAGAGCAACTGAGTCAGTGATGGGCTCCGTCATTCCTGGAAATGTGCAAGACAGGCATACCTGCAATTGCAGGTCAGCATCCGAGTCTTCGTAAATGCGCCGGGCAAGCCCTTGGTTCTCCAGAGCCATACTCTCCAGGAAACTGTAATCCAGATTCTTGCCAAAGCCCAGGTTATACAAAGGGAACTTGCCTTGGATGGCGTTTCGCACGTTTTCCCGGATCTTGTCAGGTCTACTCTCACCTGCAAAGGAGTGTTCATGCCCCAGCCATGACTCTGGGGTCCATCTGCCCCAGCTCTGTTGGCAGTGCCTGATTCCTACAGGAGCAGAGCTATTAGAGCCTGGCAGGAGGAGGCAGGGCCCAGGCTTTGAGGGGCTGATAGACTGTGGGGAAATTGAAGGTTTTCCCTGGGAATAGCTGTAGTAGTAAGCCTGCTACAGAGCCAGAAAACAGTCAGGCACTCACCCTGGGTCAGAACCACTCTCTCCCCTCACCAGTATTGGCATCCCCATCAGTCAGCATGATGATGATGGAGGTGCTCCTCTCGGGGACCAGGTGCTCCTCCTGGGCCTTGTTCAGCATGTGGATGGCCCTCAGCAGTGCGTCATTGATGTTGGTTACTGTGACACAGACAGTGCCATTGGAGGGTGTTCTTGGGGTGCCAGGTTACAAAGATACTGGAGTGGAGGAAGTCAGGACAATAGACTCTACTTGTGTGCTGAGCACCCCATCTCTCTTACGTGGTGGTGCTCAGTGAGTAATGACAGAATGAACCAATGATTTACTCTTTCATATGAAGATAAAAAGGCTACCTAAAAGACACATGGTGAGGGGCCAAGGACTTAGCTCAGTGGCATAAGTGCCTGCCTGGCAAGCATGAGGTCATGAGTTCGATCCCCGGTACCACAAAAAAACAAAAACAAAAACCCCATGGTGATTATAAAGACAAGTATATGATGGACTTCAAGCCCCTCTCTCTGAAAGAAGGGAGCTGTGTAGACATCATTTATGACTTTCCATAGGTGGTGGAGTCTCCCACCTAAAAGAGTTCTGTGTAGATTTATCTTGCCAGGATTTGCAGGGCACCAGGCTTGTAGGTCAGAAACAGAAAGAATGACTTTCTCTTTACCACAAAGAAGATACCCCAAACCCTGCCTTCAAGGCCTAAGGAGTGCCCAGTCTACCTCTACGCTAGCAGGATCAGCAGGGCTGAGACCAGCAGAGGCTGTGCCCCAAAGCAGGAAGGAAACATGCTTCTCAGAGAAAAGGAAGCAGCCAGTGGGTTGCGCATCTGCTCTCCACTGTGTTCTTACATCCTTGGTCATAAATGTTCTTCACGAACGTCCTGGCCTCCTGGAGGTTCTCAAGAGTAGCCTGAACTAGTTGATCTTTCCAAGTGGTCACACTCCCAGAGAACAGGATGAAATTCAGGTAGTCCTCCTTCCTCACATCCTCCAGGATTCTGAGAAGAGCATCCTTTGTCTGAGGAAGAGTGAGGCAAGCAGACAAGAAGCTGAGTGCAAAAGCAGCAGCAGGCAAGGTCCTTCCTGGCCCCTGCTGGATGCCGAGCCCTTGGTGTCCTTGCTGAGTGAGTGTTCCCTGTGGCCCCTCGTAAAGGTGAACAGAAGTCTTTCATTCTTTTTCACCAGAAATACCAGCATTTGCCACTTAAAAAAAAAAGTTTCTCCCTCCCCCCCACCACCCTTCTGTGTCCCTTGTGCTGAGAGAGATGAGATCAAACCTGCTCTATTTTGAGACCGGACATGGAGCCACTGACATCAATCACAAAGACCACATTCTTTGGCACCACTGGAAGGCCTTGAGGTGCAAAGAAGTGCACAAAGTAGCCATTGACTATCTGGAAAGCAGAGAGAGACAGAGAGAGTCAGAGGCCAGTGTCCCTTTAGGAGTACCATACTGGCTCCTCTTGCAGATAGAAGTCAGGCATTTTCCACCTAAGCAAAAGATGTCCCTTTCTTGTTCTCTAGGAGGAACTATGCAAAGACTCAGCCATTGGCTGGCTTATGTCAGGGAAAGAGACTCAGTCTAGGGCTGAAGATGGAGGAGGTGGCAGCAGATGCATCCACAGCCCCCCTGGCAAAAGCCTCTCCCTACTATAATGGGGAATGGGCCAGCCCAACGGAGCCACTGACAGCTACCTGCACGTTGGCTGGAGATTCTCTGTTCACATCGTACGTGACAGTGAAGTCTCCATTGAGGAGGGAATCTGCACAGGTTGGGCACGAACGCTGTTGATCCAAGCTGGGCTTGAAGGACACGTGGCCCTGAGAGACAGAGTTGAAGGGTCTTGGCCAGTCCTGCCCACTGGCAGGCATCCCCAGGAGCCTTCCCTGACAGGAGCTCTTAGGAGAGCAGAGACTGACAGGAGCTGGAGGACTGGCATGCTGCTGAATGCCAGGTCCCAGTAGGCATAGCTTCTCCCCAAGCTCTGGCTTTCTGAGCACCTCTCTCCCTTTTCCCTGAATCCTCACACCCCAACTCAATCTACTTTGAAGCTCAGCACCAGAAAACTACCTAAGGAAACTTCACATTGGGTGGCTCTGTGTATTGGAGTTGGTGCTGAGAGGAGAGGAAGGAGGGAGAAGGAGGAAGCCCCCTCGTTGGCACTAGTCTCAGGAGTGCTGCCCTGCAGAAGCTAAGCTCCCTCTTTGTGCTCTTTGTAGTTCACCCTGGAGGTCTGAGTCTTGCTGTTTATAGAAACATTTGCTCAGCTACTGCTCACTGCCATTAAGGTCTTTGGAATAGCTGAGGGCCTTGGGGACTAGAGCCAACTACCCAACACCAAGAATAAGGTACCCTTTAATGTGATGTCACCAGATCTGGCCTCAGCCTCGTTGTCTGTAAATCAGAGACAGTAATGCTTGCCCTGTCCACTTCCCAGATAGAATGGGGCTGGAATTTAAACAGCTCCCTCGTCCCCGCAGCCCCAGTAGAGCTGAGGTCCTAATTCTCCTCACATGTCATCAGCAGCCCCTGCCTCTAGCATCCTTGCTCCTGGCTCAGGTGGCCAAGGAGAAAAAGGATGGTTGTGGACTAACCATTCCCTGAGGCCCCCTCACATGAGCCAAGCCCCTAACAGCAGGCCTGTCCTGCTGGGGCCACAGTTCCTGCCCCTGCAACTCAGGTCCAGAGGCATCTACCACACCTTCTTCCCTGAGAAGGACTTGGTGAGGGCACTCCCCAGGAGGTCATTGGTGATGAATGAAGCCTCAGCATCCAGTGTGCTGATGCCCTGGGGCTCAAAGATGTGCACATCAATCTGAAATGACCAAAGTAAGACAATGTCACTCAATGACAGTCCAAAGGTCAGCCTCTGGATCAAGGTCAAATGGAATGAAGCAAGTCCTCTAGGACACTGGTAAAGATTAAGGCTGGTGTCTCCCGCCAGGAAGTAACCACAGGGGCTTGTGAAGGGCGCCCCATCCCAAAGTACTCTCTATTCTGCCTGGTGTGTTCTGCCACTAAGGTGTTTCCTGTAGCTTTCAGCTCTGATGCAGGTAAAATGTACACAGTTACAAGCATCACAGAGGCTCTTTGTGGTGTTGGCCCTCAGGGCCCAGCACCAAACCTGGATGTGCTGCATCTAGCTCAGCCTCCCCCTGTGGCCCCTAGTTGCTGTGGCCAGAGGCGCTGTAATTCCTCTATGCTCCTGAACCACATGTAGGGCCGGAACTTGTGCACCTCTGACCCTGCCCTGTGCTCTAGTCTGTGGGCCTTTCTCCACAGCAAAGCAAGCCCCAGCAGGGGAGCAGATGTGGTTGTTACCTCAAAGTTTTTGACCAGTTGCTTGGGCTGGATCTTGAGGTACATCTCATACTTGCCCTTGTGCCTCTTCAGCAGCTCCTCGTAAGTTAGCTCAAAGGTGACCTTACTGCCCGCAGCCACGTTGACCGAGACTGTGAATTTCTCCAGCTTCCTTCCAGAGGCCCTAGACAGGATGTGACAGACTGCATGAGCCCACCCTGCCCCGGGGCTCAAGTTCTACTCTGACCATTCTGATCCCCTGTTGCTTCAGTGTAAAATGGGATAATGTAGACATTTTGGACACATGTAGCTACAGCAGTCGAATAGCTACTATTTCCATCTCTGGAGGCCCCACAGCCCAGCCGTTCCCAAGGCCCCAGGGCCACACTTACTTGACCAAGCCAGCTGTCTTGCCCTGGGACACAGCCTTTTCATACTGCTTCTTAGCGACTTCTTTCTCCTTGATGTTCCCAGGGTAGGTGACACCATCGATGGTCCTGTAGCAACACAGAGTTTGGAGGAGGAAAATATGAGGGATGTCACTCTGGGCCAGACCTCTCTCCTGAGCTCAGTACCAGCAGCCATGGTACCCACAAGGTGAAGTTGGTAATGAAGCCTGTCTTGGGCAGTTCCGCATCAAAAAAAACTTCCTTGGCCTCATGTCCACGGTTGACAGCCCTCGTGGTGATGACATTGTGAGAAAAGCGGGAGGTCACCTTGCAGTTGATCGTGGTACTGTAGACCTCAATGTCATTAGTTCCCAACTGTGGGAGAGATGTGCTAAGATCAGCGGGTGGTGGCCAGTAAAGTGTGACACCCAGGAGTCACGTGTTAACCTGGCCACTCCCCTTCCAAACACTTCCTTGCATGATCTAAGGCTCCTTCCTGGTAGTCAGCCCCTTGGTTACTCCACTGGAAGCTAGGCAGTGTGTTCATCCCCACATTCAGTTGGCCACCATGGCACCGAGGTTTGCTCAGCCTCCTTAACTCTGAAATCTGTTTAGGCAGGCATAGCCAGTGAGAGCTTGTAGAAACCCAAATCTGACCAGCTTCCCACAGCTCCCCATTGCTCCCACACCTTTGGTCACAGCATTACAGGGACCATGGCCTTCCCTGTGCCCCAGACTTATCTGGAAGAATCCTGACCCCTCTGTTCATCCTGAGCTTCTGCTCACCCAGGGCTCTGCCCCAGATCTTCCTGGCATCTCTTCTCTTGTGTCATGTTCTCTTCTCCCCCAGTACACCCCAGCCTGCCTCTTGTGTCCTTGATATTGGCTGGTTCTGTTTCCCAAACAGGCACCTCTTTCTGTCTGAAGGGGAGTCCCCAGACACCCTCTTTCCAATGACAGTGATGGACTGAAGGAGGCTCTAGGGAGACCTCTGCTTAGGATATAAAGTTTTTGTGAGGGTGATGAGGCCACCTTACTGTTTTCTTCCAGCCCCATTCATGGGGCCAGGTGGTAGCAACTATGACAAGTGTCTGTGGGAGGAAGGGACGACTGATGAGGTTCTTCTGAGTCACCTCCCAGGAGGCTAGAGACCGGTGGTTCCATAGTACTCTTTCCCAGAGGTCTTTCATCACACAAGGTCTGCCAGGGCAGCAGCCCACAAGCTGTGTGGGACCTGTCATGGCCCACACCTCCAGCAGTTGGGCAAGCAGCTGCCTCCTGCCAAGCCCCACCTGGATCCCACCCCAGTGAAAGTTCTCACCCCTTCCGGGAGGCTCCGTATCTGCAAAACAAACAGAGGGGTCAGGTCAAGGGTAAGGCCACCATGGCCAGGGAGCAGGTTCTGACTGGGGCCAGGGTTTAACCGTGCCCCACTACATAACTTTAAAGAACCTCCAGACACAAGACCCGCCCAGGCCATGTGTCAGAGGTGGAAGGGCTTCTGAATAGGTGGGGACACTGAGGTCCAGAAAGAGATAAGTCTCTAGGTTACCCAGGGAGCAAAAAAAGAAAAACTGGACCCAGTGTGCTCTTCATGCCCCACAAACTCCAGCTCATTCTGCCTCTCATTCTGCTTTCCCTGGCCCTGGGCCCTCAGGCTTCTTCCCAGAACACCCTGTCTCCAACCACAGCCCCATGGGACTCAGCTCTAAATTCTGCAGGGGCCTCTGCACTTGTCTGAGACTTCAGCCTTCATGACCTTAGAGAGTCAAGAAGTTCACGGCATGGTGCCCATTTAAGGAACTGAGGCCCACGCGTTTTAAGAGCCTTTCCTAGGGCAAGACAGCAGGCTAGAGTAGGCCTTGGCTGCAGCCTAGTTCTCCCAATGTCCTGCACTGTCCAGTAATGCAATGCCCAGTCCTCTACCTCCTCTTAACCCCACTCAAAGGACTTTCCTAGAGTGGTGCTCTGATGGCAAAGAGGGGCAGACTCACCGCTAACAGCCGGAGAGCACTTCTTGGAAAGCCAGAGGCTGCCAAGCTGAAGAACAAAGCCAAGGTGAGGTAGGGCCGCCAAACCAATGCCATTGCTAAGCTCACAGGCCTGGCTCGTCCTCCTTATATGAGCCCAGTGTTTTCCAAGCAGGGTCAGTGACCCGCAGCATGCAGCTGACCCCACAGAGGCGGGAAGCTTTCCGGGAAGGTAGGCGTGGGTGGGACTATCTAAAGAGGCCCAGTGGGAACTGTCAGCTGTGTTAGGGCATTGCTCCTGCCAGGCAAAGGCTACGAAGGCTCTTTAGAAAATAGAAACTGCATGTGGGCAACTGGGCTCTTGGCTTCCTTGGTGTGAGCGTTGGAGATGAGTATGGAGTTTCGTGGAGAGCAGGAACCACCTTGGCATTGTGGCCTTTTTTTTTTTTTTTTCGTCTTTTTCATTTTTTTTTGGTACCGGGGATTGAACTCATGACCGCTTGCTTGCAAGGCAGATACTTATACCACTGAGCTAAATCCCCAGCCCGGCATTGTGGCCTTTTGTCCTCACTGTTCACATGGTGCCTATCTAGTCCCTCGATCACAGCCCTTCCTTTCTCAAGGTACAAAACCAAGCCGTCACTCTCAGACTTGGACCTCCACAGCTGAGTCCCTAGCTCATTATCCTTTCTCTGGCTGCCAGGGCCCCAGAAAAAGGATAAACCTTAAATTCTGTGACCTAGCACTCTCTCTGGGATCTGGCTCCAGCTTGCTTGTCTAGTTTACTGTCCCCACACTGGCATGCCCTCTCTTTGCTGCACCTGGCATCTCTCATCTCTCTGCCATCCCCGGGCACCCTCCTCCAACAGCCTTCCTCCTTCTTCCTGTAATGGACTACAGGGCAACCCTGCCCCACACCCAAGCTCCCTGAGGGTTTGTCTTGTCACTGCGGTGAAGTTTGTGTGCTCAGGTATGATGGTGCCCTCAGGATGCTCATAGAAGACTGGACCTTGTCACGTTCCCTTCCATCCTTCCAGGGTCTGGCCAAGGATGTGACTGAACTCAGTCATCCTCCTAAATGTCTCTCATGGGGCTGGGGCACTGGCATCCAGGCCAGGAGCTCCTGAATGAGGACTGAGTTCCTTCTAATGAAGACTGAGATCTCCTAAGACACACCAAGGCCCTGTCAGTGCCCAGCCTCTCAGCGAGGCTGCCATGGGCCCACTATCTGCATAACTTCTTGGAGCAGAGCAGACCCCGTATCCTGCCTGCGTGGCTCACTGCTGGGGAGAATAGACAAAGGACACCTGGCTAAGCCAACTTATGGATGGACCCATAGCTGCCACTAAAGCCCTGAGCCTGCCAGTGAGGTGTACAGAAAGAGCTAGGAGCAGGGAAGAGAGAGAAGGCAGAAAGGAGAAATGTGAGGCCGAGGATGACAATGGACTAATGCTGGAGGTGGCAGAAGCCGCAGAGCAAGGACAGTGATTAGGTCAGAAAAGTGATGGCAGAGGGACAGATACAGCTTCTGGGGGCAAAAACCTATGCCTAAGGCCAGACTAGGCAGCACTTGCTTTCCTCAGATCTCCTGAATCTTATGCCACTCTCTACTGGTAGCAGGTGCCAAGCTCTGGCCGGGTAGAGACCAAATCAAACAGATGCTTACACCTAGAGGTGGAGGGAGGACCCCTCAGAGCTGTTTTCTGGATCCAGGGACTTTTGTTCATGTGGTCATTTTAAGCATCTGTGATGGTTGGGGTCAAGGTGGGACTGTAATCTTTCCTACATTGCCCAAAGACTTCTCTTCATAGCCCCATGGCTACCTGCAGAGGTTCCCCTCAGCCTCTTGCATCACATACTGTCTCTTCCCCCAAACATTTGGAATTTTATGAGAGGGACAACTCAAAATAAGGATTCTGAGGATGTTTAAAGGACCCCCAAGAGATCAATAGCTAAGGTCTTGGAGGGATGTGGAGTCACTGTCCAGAATTTAGAATGATGTGGAATCTAAGAGGTCCCCAGGTCCCCATTTCCATTTTATGGAAAGTGCAGATGAGACCCCAGCTGGGCAGTATACCTTCGAAGGTGAGCTGACCTCCAAACCTCTGCTGGCCACACAGCCGACTCTGAAGGGGTCCTGTATTCCCAGACCTGGGGCTCAGCATTTGTGTTCATCATTCGGTCCTCAGAACACAAAATTCCCCTTATGCTGTCTGAGCCCTCACAGGCCTTATCTGTAGTGGGAACTGGACAGAAGTCAGCAGAGAAGACAACATAAACTCAGGAACAGCATGGATGGAGGCCCACACACCTTCACACAAAGGGTCCATGGCTCCCCCAAAGAGTGCACACTGTGATGCTGTATTGTAATTGGGTCTCAAGACCAAACTAAGGGAAGAGATTCTAGTGAGGGAATTCTAGACTTTAGTGTGAGGAGACCATGGGCTGCAGTTCCTGGTCCCCTGAAATCCCAGCTTTATAGTGGTGACTGTGTCTGCCTTTGGGAAGGCACCAGCTTGGTTCCTAGAGGTAGACACCCCAGCAGGGAAATGGGCTGAAATGGAGGCCTTGACCCCGGGGTGCAGCCTCCTGATCTTTGAGGACTTCTTCAGGACACCAGGTCTGTCTGGATATAGTTCTTTCATATGCTCATTCTAAATTATCCAGAACTGAATCCCAATAGGTTTTGGCCACCTGGTGACTGGAATATTTATATATGACAGATGCTTGATGTCAACAACAGGGGTTCAAACCCTGGCTCTGCCACTGATAAAAGTGATTTAGGACAGATCACCTAATCTCAGCTGTAGATGAGTATAATAAAAGTTTCCCCTAGGCCTGTGGGAACATACATTTAAAGAGCTCATGTGAAGTGCAGGGTGAGTGCTGGCTACTGGAAGCTCTGGGCCAGTGTGGCTGTTCATGTCACCATAGTAACAGTGGCTCTATCCTGAGTGGGGAGTGCTGTACAAGGGGCACTCTGGGGACCCAGAGGCCCTGGAGCCTGACAGCTGCAAAGATTAGAAATGCATAGGACCGGGGATTTAGCTCAGCAGTATAAGTGCCTGCCTGGCAAGTTTGAAATGCAGGATATGGGAAGTAGAGTTGCCGTGGGCTGCCCTCCCAGCCTGTGACCCACTTCTCCTGACTTTGGCTTGGCTGTGATCACTGAGTCCTCTCAAGGTGCAGTATCTTGAGTCACTTCCTTGCCATGCTCCTTCCTCCCACCAAAATAAAACAAAACAGCCAGTTCTGGGCATAGTCAAGTCACAGGGTTCTTTGAAATAAGGAGCCAGCTTGGTCAGGCAGATGCCCTCCTACTCTGCTACAGTAGCAAGGGAAGTCTAGTGTGCCAGCTGAAGGGTTCAGAAGATGTCAGGGACGATGTAGTCAGTGTGAATGCCATGGATCAGTCCCGCTCCATTGTTGTGGACAAACCAGCAGGACACCTCTGCTCCATGCCGGGGGTCCTTGCTGTAGTCCTTTTGCAAGCCTCTGGAAACAGACAAATCAGCTGTTACTCTTCTTGGAGCTCTGCAAGGCTGCACCTCCCCTGGAAGCACACACCATCCACAAGACCCCTGGACCAACAATAGGAAACAGAAAGCACCATGCACGGAAACACTGGCAAACAGCCCACCTACCTGGTGACTGTCAGCCTGCGGTTTTTCACCACCAGTGTGGCATCTGGTTTTGTGGGATCAGAGCCTGGCCGGAGGTCCAACACTTCAAAATCAAAGGGGTGTAAGAATTGTCCTAGCAAGGCACATGAGAGGAAGAAGGTACTGTCATGGGTTTGCTCCTGCCTTGCATTCAGCAGGGGCTCACTGGGGGCTGAGCCAGTTTCTTGTGTGGGTTTTTTTAAGGGCTTGAGTATTTCTGGTAAGACTTAACATCAAAAGCCACCTTAGTTCACTTGTTGCAGAGGCACATATATTTCTAGGTGGTACTGTTTTTAATCAGTTCTGAAGGAATCTGGCTGGAGAGAGAGGCGAGAGGTTTCGGTGCCCAACAGAGAACAGAACCAACAGAAAGGCCATATAGGAACAGAGTGGCTGATGACCCTCCCCACTCACAAGGTCCCTGGAGATCCTCTGGACCTTTCTGTCTGCTAACTGGACCTCTCGCTATGGCTTTAAATGGCTTTTGTTTGTGTTTGATCACAGTACTTTGAAAGGACAAGACCTTCACTGGGACAAGCCATCTCAGAGCTCTGAATCTTGTCAGCCACGCTGCAGATTGGTCTGTCTGGGTGCCCCAGAAACTGTGAGCACACCTGGCCAGACATACCCAACAGCCCGTGTGTCCGAGGTGACATCCAGCGACCATCCAGCACATAGAAACCCAGGAAGTCCTGGTGGACTGCACTTCCCCTCCACACTCGGTGCAGGACAACCTCAAAGGTGGCCTTGCCATCCATGGACAACACCAGGTTCCTCTTCTTGTTGATAGTCACCACCATTCTGCAAAGCCAGGATGGCATGAGAACAGAAGCAACTACACTGCACACCTCTATTTAATTGTCTCTATTCTACGAGACTGAGGTCTTATGAGCAGAGTTAAGTCAGAGACACTGAATTCTTTGCCCAGGGTCACACATCTGAGGAGGAGTGGATCCAAGACTTAGCTTCTAGCCAGTCTATTATCAGAGTCTGTGACCTCTGAATTCTACTCATCACTTATGTCCTCTATATGGGACTCAGTTCTGCTGCCCAGAATCAGGCTCTGGTACTTTACAGAATTTGTTAAATAAATGAATAACCAAAGGAAGGACCAAATGTGAGACAAGGCAGATGTGACAGGTGCTGAAAGGGAGCCCAGAGAATGCTGGGATTCAGCAGAACAAGAGAGTAGAGGCTTCATGGAAGCAGTACATGCTGGATCTGGGGAGATGAGCTGGCTTTGTTGGTGCATTGGGAATGGAATTCAGAGCATTCAGGCCCCTAGGCCAGAAGCATTTGCCCAGGAACCAAAGAAAGTGGTCCCCAGACCCTGACATGTCTGCACAGGGCCTCCGGGCATCGCCATGGATTTTAGGGATGAGGGCTCTGCAGATCCAGGCAGCAAATTGAGTACGGGAGCTTTGGGTCTTCACCACAACCCTCTCCCACCCAGGTCTGGCCTAGTTACCCGTCCTGCCGCAGCACAGCCTGGTCTCT